CTGGATGGTTCTGGTTGCTGATAGCCCAGGCCAGGTGGGGTAGGCCCTGTGGAGCAGTGCTGAGCAGGACCCTCAACTCTGCCTGGCTCAGAGAAATTAGCCCTCCTGGGTCAACATGCCCAAGTGGGTGGTGATTCAGGAGAGACCCCCAACTCCTGCAGCCCCTCCTTTATGTATCTGCAGCTAAAAAGGAAACAAAGCATTTCCCTAATTATACTCACACAACACACTGACACCAAATTGTGGGTTTTTCACAATGAGCAATTTTCCGGTTCTCTAAACACCACCTGAGTGTCCTAGGCTTCAAGTCAACCCTGATGCTACCCGGAAATAGCATCAGATCCCACAGGTTAAAGGCGCAGAATCCCAAAACTGCCTCTGCTTGAGTTACTAATCCCTGTACTTCTGACTGACTGGGGCTGAGGCTCAGAAAACGACACCCCAAAGCAGAGGCCTCAGGAGCACAGTTTCTCTCTGATCTGCCCTCCCATCTCTCACCCTTCTTTCTCTCTTGAGACCAGCTGTAGAAACTAGAATTCATCTTTCCCTGTGTGGAGCACAGAAACTGGAATCCCATTTCCTCAAAGCCAACCATAGTGACTGAGAATATTGCTTTAACTTTCTCTGTAACAACCACCCATAAAGAAATGCTCATGCCCGGTGCTGGTGGCTCACGCCTGTAATCGTAGCTTCTCAGGAGGCAGCGATCAGGAGGATTGCAGTTCAAATAGTTCGAGGAACTATATTTCAAAAAAAAAAAAAAAAAAGAAAAGAAAAGGGCTGGTGTAGACGCTGAGTTCAAACCCTGGTACTGCAAAAAAAAGAAAAAAAGTTCTCAGACCTACCTTGTTTGGTAGAAGCCCATAAGACCCACCCAATGCCAGAGGGGTCCTGCCCCATATTCTTGGTTGAGGACAAGAAGAAGCCGAACACACAGGCCTTGCTGGGTCTCCCCTCAGTCTATCACTATTAGATCAGACCCTTTTGTCCTATTACAGTCCTGTATAGCTGTCCAGGCCTCATCAAACCTGAGCATAAAAACGGATAGTTGGCCAGTGTCTTTGGATCTTCATCTGAGGTCTTCCATTACATGTAAAACTATAATGAAATATGTTTGTTACACTTTTTTCTTGTAACTGTGTTTTGTTATAGGAGTATCCACCATGACCCTTTGTGATGGGTGAGGAAAGGGACCTCACTTCTCTGGGTACTTCCACCTTCCTCCCCTACATGGGCTATTAATCAGGGTTTCCTATGACCTCTTTATGGATTCTGCTAGAATGGGTGACAGAATCAGGGAGACACTTTAAGGATATGACTAATTGTAGAGATGCATAGACCAAAGGCATGGAGGTGTGGTGAGGGGAGCTCAGGCCCTCCCTAGGGGAGCCCTACTCCTGGAACTTTCTTGTTGAATCCTTAGAGTTTTTATGGAGGTCCCACTACACAGGTGTGGTTAATTTAAAACACTGGCCATTTGAAGGTGATGGAACTCCATCTCCAGTCCTACCTTGTGTGTATGAATGTATGTGTGCGTGTGTGTATGTATAACTGTGTATATGTGTGCACGTGTGTATGTATAACTGTGTATATGTGTGCGCGTGTGTATGTATAACTGTGTATATGTGTGCGCGTGTGTATGTATAACTGTGTACATGTGTGCGCGTGTGTATGTATAACTGTGTATATGTATAACTGTGTATATGTGTGCGCGTGTGTATGTATAACTGTGTATATGTGTGCGCGTGTGTATGTATAACTGTGTATATGTGTGCGTGTGTGTATGTATAACTGTGTATATGTGTGCGCGTGTGTATGTATAACTGTGTATATGTGTGCGTGTGTGTATGTATAACTGTGTATATGTATAACTGTGTATATGTGTGCGTGTGTGTATGTATAACTGTGTATATGTATAACTGTGTATATGTGTGCGTGTGTTTATGTATAACTGTGTATATGTATAACTGTGTATATGTGTGCGTGTGTGTATGTATAACTGTGTATATGTGTGCGTGTGTGTATGTATAACTGTGAATATGTGTGCGTGTGTGTATGTATAACTGTGTATATGTGTGTATGTGTGTATGTATAACTGTGTATATGTGTGTGGGGGGGGGATGATGCCCATACTCAGTTTCAATCCTCCAATCACCTGTTTGCCTCGATTTCCCCTACACCCAGGAACCAGCCCCCATCCTGAAGCTCTCCAGGGACTCCAGTCACCAGTAGTTTCATTAACGTCCAGACACTCTGAGCACTGTGGAGATTCCAAGGGTCTCAGAAGTCCTTAGAACCTGGGGGTACTGATCAAAGGGTGCAAGGTCTCGGTCACACGGGAGGAAGAAGCTTCCATGGCCCATGGCACAGAATGATGACTATGCCAAATGACAACACCCTGCACATTCCAAAAGTCTAAGAGTGGGTTTTTTTTTTTTTTTTTGATGCTGGGGTTTGAACTTAGGGCTTACAACTTGAGCCACTCCACCAACCCTTTTTTTGTGAACCTTGTTTTTGAGATAGGGTCTCACAAACTATTTGCCCAGGCTGGCTTGGAAGCTTGATCCTCCTGATCTCTGCCTTCCAAGTAGCTAGCCACACATGGCTACATTTGCTTCTTCTTCTTTTTTTTTTTTCCCATTCTGGGGAGCAAATCAAACTCAGGCACTATACATGCTTAGCAAGAGCTCTACCACTGAGCTATGCCCTCAACCCCACATTTGTATTTTTTTTTTTGGCAGTACTGGGGTTCCGACTCACAGCTTCACACGTGCTAGGCAGGCATTCAACACTGAACCACTCTGTCAGCTCTATTTTTTTGTGCTGGGTATTTTTCAGATAAGGTCTCTCAAATTATTTGCCTGGGCTGGCCTTGAGCTCTGCCTTCTCAGTAGCTAGGATTACAGGCTTGAGCCATTGGCGCCCGGCTTCTCACATCTGTATTTTTACAGCGCTTGCAGGGCTGAATCATCCGGACTCTGAGGGGTTGCCGTCCTTCTGCTTTTCATCTGGAGAGTTTGCAGTTTTACTCCCACTCCTGAACCCTGAAACCTAGAGGTGATCCCATCTCCCAGGAATCCAGACCTTGCTCGGGTGTGAGTGAGTCAGCCCACAGTTGCTCTAATTAGCTTAGCGTTATGAGGGTGAATCACTATGATGGCAAGTACACCTTGTCCTCTTGCTTCCTGTGTCTTCTGACTGAGGAACTGAGGGACCGAGGTGTCTGTCTTCTCTTCCTGTGATAGTGCGAGAATAAAGTGTCCACTTTCCATCCATCCATCCATTCACCGTGCTTTGATGGAGGCTTGTCTGTACTAGGCAATGTCCAGGTGTAGAAGAAACATTTGTGAAGATCAATCTCTGTTGTTGAGGAAGTGTCAGGGTGGGGAAAGACAGCAACATGTCTACGAAACACAAGAGCTGATCTCAGGGAGCATTCAGTTCTGTGAGGAAAACACAGCAGGGTAATGGGAGAGGGAACTTCACATAGGGTAAAGTCCTCTTTGATGGAGGAAGCAGTCAGCTGTAGGACTATCCAGAGCCACACAGCAGTCGTTAGTCACACCGGGCTGTTGAGTACTCAATATGGATGAATTTGCATTGAGATATGCCATGAGTGTAAAATATTCCTGGATTTAAAAAAACAACTATAAAATAATCCTAATATATCCCTCTAATAATTTTTTCTGCTGGGTGTGGTGGTGCATGCCTGTAATCCCAGCTAATTTGGAGGTAGAGGCAGGAAGATCATGAGTTTGAGGCCAGCCTGGGCAAAGGTAACTTTGAGAACCTTTCTCAAAACCCAAACAAACAAAAACCCCAAAGGGCATGGGGTGTAGCTCAAGAGGTAGTGAGCTCCCCTAGCATATATAAGCCCCTGAGTTCAATCCCCAGAATAATCTTTTTTAAAATGTTGGAGGTGATGGCTTCTGTGGAGGCAGGAGAATGGAGTTCAAAGCCAGCCTGGGCTACTAGTGAGATTCATCTCAAAAATTTTTTCCTGTCGGTTATATGTTACAATAACAATATTTGGATTCAATTGAATATTAAAATTATTATTTCCTTCCTTCCTGTCTGTGTCTCCCCTTGGTGCTGAGGATGGAACCCTGGGCCTTGCACATGCAAGACAATTGCTCTATCACTGAACTGCATCCCCAGCTGCTTCTCTTTTAATGTACCAACTAGTAAATGTAAAATTACCTATGTGATGTCACGAATGGTGGGGCATGCATGTAATCCCGGCACTCCAGAGGCAGAGTCAGGAAGATGTTAACTTTGAGGCCAGCCTGAGCTACACAGCAAGTTCCAGTATGGACAAAGGCCAGTTTGGGCTTTGAGACCCTGTCTCAAAAAACAAAATTACCTATGTAGCTTGCATGGGTGGCTTGCATTGTATTTCTATTGGACAGTGCGGGTCTAGGGGAAAAGCACTCTAAGAAGAGAGAATGGTAAATGCAGAAGTCCCGAGGCAGGAACTGAAGCATGCTGGGGCGGAGTGGGCCAGGGAGAAACCAAGTCCAGGAGGACCTTGGTGTAGGCTGGTAATGAAGATTTTTTTTTTTGGGGTGGGGGGAGTTGAGACAAGGTCTGATTGTGCAGCCCAGGCAGGCCTCGAACTCCTCCTGCCTCAGCCTCCCGACTGCTGAGAAGGAGGTGAGTTTTAATGGAAGTATAAGGAAAACCCTTTTAAGCAGGAAAGGACATGGTCTGAACGATAGAACCCTGGGGGTGGCTGCCAAGTCCAGATGGGAGGTCAATTGCACTTTCTGGTGGATGGATGCTAGGGCATCGCTGCAGGAACAATATCGAGTGCCAATAACGTGTGAACTAGGGTCACTAGTGGCCCTGCCCTCACTTGAGACTCAGTTTCCCCACCTACAAAGAGCCCGGCACCCGCGAGCCCGGGAGAGCTGCAGGAGCGGCGGCGGCCGCCAGGGGGCGCGCGCTCGCTGGCTCGGCGCTCGGCTGGCCAGGCTCCCGCGCGCGGCCGCTCGATTGGTCGGGTCGAGCGCTCGGGCCTGCGCCATCGCCGAGCCGCGGGGAGCAAGCGCCGCGCACTGCCGGGCTGGGCTGGCGGCCGCGACACCGATAGGTAAGGGCGGAGCGGGCCGGCGGGGTACTGCCCCGACTCCGCACGGACCCGCGGGTCCGGGCCCACCTCGGGGACCCCGGCGTCCGGCCCTCCAGGGAGCTCGGGGGCGCCGCGTCCCCCCGCGGCCCGGGCCCGCTGTCCGCGCGGGGACCCTGGAGCCCGAGTCTCCACGGGGACCCCAAACACAGGCTTGGGACCCCCGGCGTCCGTGTTCTGTCCTGCAGAGTCCGACCCCTCCCCACCCCACCCCACAGATCCCAGCGCCTTTTCTGGGGTCCCCGCAGCCTGGCGCCTCGGGTCGGGGGGTGTCAGTTCGCGTCTGTCCTCCTGAGCCTTGTGGGAGCCCCCCTTCCCCACTCCACCTCCAAGAATGGGGTGTCGGTCATTTTGCAGGGTCTTAACCACCCCTGGGAGTCACCTCTGGAGTGGGGACGTCAGTCCTCAAACCTATCTTTAGTCCCTCCCTCCCCGCCCCCGTTCCTCTCCACCACTTCGGGTCATTCCCTGGTTGAGTCCCTTCTCCAGGTAGGGGATCCCCAGAGCCATTCCTATCTGCGAGGTGGGGGTCCCTGTCCTCTGGAGCGAGCGGGGTTTGGGGGCAGAGAGCAGGGGGCCCCGCCTGGTCCCCCTGGGACCACCAGCCTGACCCCCAGAACCCTCCCCCTCCCGCTCCCGAGCTCCCCGGCTTCCGCAGCGCGCGGCCCCAGTCACCTCGGGGAGGACGCTCAGGTCCTGGTGCCAGTCCTTCCCATTCCCGGGTCGGGCCTCCTGTCAGGGGAGGGGCCTGGCTCAAGGTCATGCCCGGCTGTCTGCCCGCCAGTGGGCTGAGCCCTGGTCCCCGGTGTCACCTGTCCCCACTGGGTAGGGTTAGGGCCAGGCAGCTGCCTAGAAGCCTTGATGGCCCCAAGTGTAAACACTCTGGGATTCTGGCCAGCCTGGCTGGCCCTTCCTGAAACTGGATTCCTTAAGGGAATCCTTGGAGTGGCCTGAGCCTGGTGGAGATGCTTAGCAGTGTTGATGGATGCTTTGTGGTTTGGGCCTCAGTTTACAGACAGGGCGTGTTAAAGTGCCAATCACCCTGTCTTTTTTTTTTGCATCCTTCCGCCTTCAGGATAAGTGTGGTAGGGTCTGAAGGTGTGTACAAAATGACAGTGGTCTGCCTTGACTGGGAGAGCGTTGTACTTGGCACTTCCGGGAGTGTTAGCGTTTAGGGTTGAAATTAATGGCAGTAGCAACAAAAATAAAGAGTGCTCCAGCTTTGGCTCTTTGCCAAAAGCTGTGTTTGGCGTTTGCATAGGTACTAAGACTGGGCTAGTAGTCATTTGCATGTTTTATTTTCACAGATTTCCCTGTTTAAAATTGTAACAGAAATGTTTCTTTTACTCAGACGTTGAAGCGTTTTTGATTTTTAAAAATTTGTTCTTGTAACTTTTTCAAACAGATCTTCAAGAATCCCTAGCGACTCCTGGTTTTATGTACCTGTAGCCTTAAAAAATATTTTTGGAAAGAAATTAGGCAAGTATTTTACCAAATCCTATTTTTTAAAAACTGTCACTGTTGACAAAAGTTAATCTTGTCAGAAAGCTCAGGATACTAGTGACAGAAGCTATTCTTTGCTGGAGACAGAGTTAACTCTTATGGGGCCTGTGTTTTGGCTCTTCACTGGGTGGCACCCTCTTGGGTGCAGATGGTTGCATCTTCTGGCACTAAGATGAGTCACTGGAGGAGGGGCAAAGCCTTTGGAAAGGATTCTAAAAGTAGGTGGTTCCAAGTGGGACACATGTCATAGCCAATCTGGAATGTTTGGCGTGGTGGCTGATGACCAACGTGGGTGGCTCAATGCAAGATTCATGGCCCACAGACCATATTGGGATTTACTAGCTGAGTGATCTGAGAACCCATTTAAATTTCTGTGTCTCAGTTTCTCTTACATTAACCTTTTGTCATACCAAAAATCATCTATGTAACTTTAGGCAAAAACTTAATGCAAATATTTGTTGAAGTATCAGCAATGTCCTAACACCAGATGGACTCAGAACTAGTCAGCATTTCTGTAAGTTTCTAAGCGTTTATTAAATATGTGTTAGTGTTTGGAAAAAATTCATATAGGTGTATTTTTGGTAGTCCTGGTAAACACCAGTTATTACAACAGGTAGTAGTAATTTAGTACTGAATCTAAATACTGTAGCTGTAACCAGAGGATTTCTGGTGTTTGTCATTATTGACTTAGACAGTTCATTGTATTAGCATTGTCTGGTGCCCAGGTTCTGGAACATTTAAGATTAGTGGTTTATATGGTTTGATGAATGATTCCTAATGAATAAATTTGCAAAATTTAATTAGGGCAACCTTAATGAGGATTGTTGCAGAATGTGAATTTTTTGCTGTAATCTAGGTTAGAGTTTCTCTGCACTGGCCTTGTTGACATTGGGCTGGACAGTTGTTTGTGATGGGAGGTTGTCTTGTGTGATGTTTGGTAGCTCCCGTGGTCTCTACTCATAAGATACCTGTAGCAGCCCTGGAAGTCACGATAATCAAAATGTCTTTAGACATTGCCAGATCCCACCCACGTGAGAACCACGTGAGAATCTAACTCCAGGGGAAGTGAGCAGGTCAGTGAGCAGTCACTTTGAAAAGATCCAGCTTTGAATAGCAGGTAACCTTTAGTAAATTGGTAGGAGTGGCTATTCCTTGCTGTGGCATCAAAATGTAGGTGTGTTGGTTTGGCCGTCAGTGTCCTGATAGGGCCTCGTATGTTGCTGCTTACCCAATCTCCTTTAAGTCTGTGTTGCACATTCATTTCCCTTCAGGCAGGAAGGGTAAGAGATCATTTTAGATGACCATCCACTTTCTTTTGCCGATTTCCATTTTTTCCTTTTATAGATTCTGTGACCATGCGAGAGAGAAAGAGAGAATGATCCATGATTTTTAAGCGCCTTTTCCTGAGGAAGCAGTCATGTTGGAAGGTCTTGTTGCCTGGGTCCTTAATACCTACTTGGGGAAATATGTCAACAACCTGAACACTGACCAGCTCTCTGTTGCACTTCTCAAAGGTGAGTACATGGATTTTTCTCTGGTAAAGTATGGCTTTGCAGATGACATTTCCATTATTTAAACATTTTTTGTTGTTGGGTGGAGGATAATAAAACCTAATGCTCACATGGCTTTATATTGAATGTATGTAAAAGGTAACAGGTAATATGTCCTCCCATATGGTAGAACTGTGGTGGTTACTATAGGGTAATGTAAATATGCAGCTGTGTTGTTGTAGATTTTAGGGAATTAATTTTTTTGGTTTATTTTTTGGTTTATTTTTTTGAGATGGGGTCTCACTATGTAGTTCAGGCTGGCCTTCAACTCTTGATCCTCCTGAGTGCAGGGATTACAGGAATGTGCCATCACACCTGACTCCCCAGTTAGTTTTTTAGCCTTTTTAAAATGAAGCTTTATGGAGGCAGACACTATGTAGTGACAGTGGCATTGATTTTGGCTTGAAATACAGTTTTGTCACTTATTACCTATGTGAATAATAACTAGTACTGAAATTTTGTGCCTCAGTTTCTTTAGCAAAAGATGGTAATAAACCTTCACAGGGTTGCTGTAAGGATCAAATGATCCAGCAGCTCTTAGCCTGCTGGTGTATGATAGATACCCAATAGAAGTTCTAAAATATTTGACTGTGAGGTCTTTGGCAGAATTTCTGAGATCTTGTCTTGTAGACATGTTAGGTTGAGACATTATAGCTTTTACTGGCCTATAGTTGGTAACTGCAGTCCTGTGAGGTGCTGTAGGAATGGGTGCATGTCCCCTTCTCCTTATTCTAAGCTGAATTCTCTTTGCCAACTCAATATGGAACCCTTTAACACATCAGAGGAAGAAGATAAAGTCAGTCTGCAAGCATGCAGTCATAGGAAGTAGAGAGGAGGCCTTAAATGACAGCAGGAACTCAGCTTCCTGCAAGTGAGCTTTGACCAGTGGACCAGGACAGGTTAGTAGAGACAGCAGTAGCACAGGTGTTTGTGGAGTCGGAGACAAGGAACCAGCAGTTCATCTATTCCCCATAGCATCACTTTTCAAGGATTTCTGACCCATGTAGTCTAGTCAAAGGATTGTGGCAGTGGTAGGCTGTTGGAGCTATCATGATCAGCTGTCCCCATGCCTTCCTTTTTGGAAACAGAAATGGATTCTTCCCTATTCCCCCTGCTTTTCCTCCTGTCCTTAGAAGGAAGCTTAAGTGGAAAGTGAAAGTGGAGAGGATGTGTTCAAAGTGCAGTAGTTGTGTTAAGTTCATTTTCCCATACACACCATGAGGCTAAGATAGATGAGGTGCAGGTGACAGCCCTAGAAAGAGAACTACAATCCAAACCTTGTCAGTGCAGGAGCTGGTTTGCTCATTCAATCATTCAGCAAACATTTAATGAGCACATGCTGTGGGCAAGGCTCTGAGCCATGAACTGATACAAAAAGGGGAGGCAGGAAAAGATCATAGGAGCTTAGGCTTAGGCTCTCATCCTGGTCCCAGAACTTACAGCTATCTGTGGCCATGAGCAGGGTATAAAAGCCCCTTCACCCACCCTTCCTCTTGCACCTGAGGTCAGACAGATCAGGCAGGAACTCTAGCACAATCACTTCCCAGTTCTGATTTCTAAGCAAATTGCTTATCTTCTAAGCCTTGTTTTTCTTATCTCAAAACCTGGGAAACTTAATACAGGTTAAGTGTCCCTAATTTGAAATGTTCTGAACTCTGAAATGCTCTGAAGCCTGAAACATTTTTCGTGCTGATTTGATGCTCACAAATTTCTGGTTTCAGAGCATTTTAAATTTTTGGATTAAGGATGCTCAGATAGTAAAGTTTATGTAAATATTCCAAAATTTGAAGCACACTGAAATCTGAAACACTTCTGGTTCCAAGCATTTTGGATAATGCATATTCAACCTGTAATATTTCCTTGCATTGTTGTGAAACAATATTGCAGGGCTGGGGTTGTAGCTCAATTGTAAAGCACTTGCCTAGTGTGTATGAGCCTCTGGGTTTGATGCCCAGCATGCCAGAGAGCGAGAGCGAGAGCGAGAGAGAGAGAGAGAGAGAGAGAGAGAGAGAGAGAGAGAGAAGTAATGATAAAGTGGTTGGCACATAGCCTATACTTCTGCAGTCCCTGCCCTCAGAGAGCTGATAACCTTTTGGGAAGTCAGTCTCTCTCGAGCTGAAGGTGTGATGCATGGGCACCCCATGCCTTCCATTCTCTCTCAAGCCTCTGGAAACCTATTCTGAAGGTAACTTTTGAGTGGGCTTAAGATGACTTCACTGGTGGCGTGAGCTGGGTTGCCACTCTCCAGGTAGAAGGAGGGCTCTGAGCAGAGGCTGAAGCCTCTAGGGCATATTTGGAATGGTTTGGAGTGAAAGCAGAGGCTGCCAGTACCGTGGCAAGGAGTCTCTGGGCATGTCTGTCTATTGTAACCCAAAGCTTCAGCTTCCCCTCGCTTTCTTTCTGTGAGCTCTGAACCTGAGGCTGCTGTTTAAATAACCTGGGGCAGAGGAAAGAGAGCCCAGTAGTTGGTAGACACTGCTGAAAAATGGTCAACTTAGAACTGGGCGCTGGTGCCTCATACCTGTAATCCTAGTTATTCAGGAGGATCACAATTCAAAGGCAGCCCAGGCAAATAGTTCTGCAAGACCCTATCTTGAAAAACCCTTCACAAAAATAGGGCTGGTGGAGTGGCTCAAAGTGTAGGCCCTGAGTTCAAGTGCAAGTACTGCAAAAAAAAAAAAAAAAAAAAAAAAAGGTCAACTTCAAATCCACCCCACTTTTTTGGACTACAAATTGTCTGCTTGGAAATAAATGAACATTATAACTGATAAAGTGCCACCTAATTTGGATGCTTTGCTTCCTGGCCAATGGAGGGACCCTTCCTAGTAGGGCAAATCGTGGGTACTTATTTGAATGGGTGGGGGATTCTGAAGCTTGAACCATTCTGACAATCTTGAACCAGTGCCACAGCATTTTGCCCATTTCTTTTGCTCTTGGCTTGCTGTGGACTGATGTTTCTTCTCATTCTTCTCTGTTTCCTCTCTTTTCCAGATCTTCTTCTATGCTTTCTGACTTCAACTTCTTTAATTTTCATCATGTGAGTTGCCATAGCTCCTTCTACTTCCCTAGGAGCTAAGGGAGCTCAGGGTCCATCTGCTTTGTAGCAGGTGACAGATTGGCAAATTGAAAAATAGGATGGTTTCAAGTGTAAATAATGTTCTCAAAAGAAGAAATGGGGGCTTGGCATGGTGGCTCATGCCTGTAATCCTAGCTACTTGGTTGGTGGAAATCAGGAGGATTGTGGTTTCAAGGCCAACAAGACTCCATCTCAACCACTAAAAGTGCATCTGTCAACCCAGCTACTTGGGAAGCATAAATAGGAGGATCTCAGTCCAGGCCTGAGAGCCTGTTCCAAAAATACCTAAAGCCAAAAGAAAAAAAAGAGGGAGAAATGGGAATGGGATGTAGCTCAGGGGTAGAGTGCTCACTCAGCATGCACGAGACCCTGGGTTCCATCCCCAGCAAAATCAAAAGAAGAAACTATATACTTGCCCTCTCTTTGAGTCACTTTCATCAAAGAAAAGCTTCCGATTTTTCCCCTTATGGTTAGTCTTTCCCCATCTTAGGGTTGTGTTGTTGAGGTTATTACCTTTCTCTTTAGGTTAGTTTCCAGATATGTGGGGTCCCAGGTGTTTCCACAGAAATAGAACTAAAAAGACTGCATTGCATAGAATCTGTCAAATTACTAGATTTGAATCCTTCTTCAGGATTAGAAGACCCAGACAGTCATTTAAAGAGAAAAGTTATCAAGCTTCCTACATTGTGTCTTTGGAGTGAAAGTGCAATCTGCCTTTCTTCTGGGTCTTCCTACTAATGGTTGTTGTCTTGAAAATATGTATCCTTGGTCTTGAAAGTATGTATCTCCCCAGCAATTTGGGGCATGAGACCTTGTCCTTTTTCATGTTACTTGTTGCCAGCACAGTGTCCTGTACAGAGTAGGACTCAGTATGTATGTGCAAGTGAATGGCTTGCCTAGCTGGGAGAAAGTGTTAGTCAGCTTTCTGTTACCGTGATAAACTACCTAAGATTATCAGTTTAAAAAGAGGAAAGGTTTAATCTGGCTCATAGTTTAAGAGGTTTCAGTCTGTGGTTTCTTAGCCTTGTTGCTTCTGAGCCCGTGGCAAGGCAGTGCATAGTGGTGGGGGTGCCTGGTAGAGAGGCCTGCACACCTCATGGCAGCTGGGGAGTAGAGAAGGGAGGGGCCTGGTCTCAGTATCCCTTTTGAGGGCACGCCTCCCAGTGACCTAACTTCCTCCAAGTTGGCCCCACTACTTAAAGGTTCTGCCACTTCCCTGTAGCACCACGGGCTGGGGACTGAGCCTTTAACACATGGGCCTTTGGGGGACACTCAAGATCGAAACTGTAACAGAGTAGTGCTCTTTGGTCTGGACACTTCTGGGTTGAAGTTATCATAAAAAAGTATGTCTGGAAGGACGTGCAGTGGCGGTCCTGTTCCTTCCTTTGCTTTCTGCTAGTTATTCCATCCTCAGGTGGAGGTGCGGAAGAGAGTATTCGGGTGGAGGTGGTCTCTCCAGAAAAAAAATATAATTCCTTTCTTTTTTTGGGGGGTAGTACTGAGGATTGAACCTAGGGCTTCCCTCATGAAGCCCTCACCCACTGAGCTATACCCCTGTCCCTTTTGTTTGCTTCTGCGATAAGGTCTCATTAACTTTGCCTGGGCTGGTTTCGAATTTGTGATCCTCTTGCCTCTGCCTCCCAAGGAGCTGGGAGTACAGGCATGGGCCACCGTGCCTGACAAGAGTATAATTTGTTTTGGTGATCAGTTTTAATTTAAACCATGGGCTCTTGAACGTTTTGTTCACCATACTCATTTTGTATTGGGGAGGGAAGTGTTTGTTAAAAATGACAGATTGTAGTGTTTTAATCTCAGAGATTCTGACTTGCTGGATCTGGGGGTGGGGCCAGGAGCCTGGTTTTTTATCCTAATGAGTCAGCTGTTGATAATCCAGTAGGAAATGTTAGTTTAAGATGGGGTTTTCAAACTGGCTAGCAGGCCAAAGTCAACCTGCTGATGAAAGATGGCTTTTATATTATTACAGCCTGTTCAAAAAATAATCTGGACACAGGGTACATGCCTGTAGTCTCAGCTACTCAGAAGGCCGAGGCAGAAGGATTGCTTGATTGCAGGTGTTCATAGTTAGCCTAGGTAACATAGTGAGATCTGTATGTCAAAAAAAAAAAAAAAAGAATAGGAAGAAATAAAAAGAGACTATGCAATAGATGTCAAATAAAGCCTTAAATATTTACAAAAAAAGTTAGATCCTTGCCTGAACTCTTCAAGGCTGCTAAGCTTCAGGTGTCATGTACATTTCAGAGGTGGTCAGGGAATTAGTACCGCAGGTGAGTGCTACAGTAGTAGCACTGCCTATGACCTTCAGTCCTGGTTAACCTTCAGTGCCCGCACACAGTAGGCACCTACTGTACTTGGTGGATGATTATTTCATGATATTTTTATTTTTAGGTGCTGTTGAATTAGAAAACCTTCCACTAAAGAAAGATGCCCTGAAAGAACTGGAATTACCGTTTGAAGTCAAAGCTGGTATGTGGAACTGAAGGAGGCAGAGAACGCTTGAGTCTCACATTGCTGGGGACGTGTAGACTGGAGTTTGTCTTTTTGACCAATAAGAGGAAGGATGAGAAGCATTAGAGTCTTACAGTGTGGTCTCTGGGCTGCTAGTGTTAGGATGACCTGGAGGTGGTGTGGGGGGAGGTCTGGTGGCCCCCAGACTGAAAAATCAGAATCTCAGAGGGAATCTGAATGTTTAATAAGCACCCAAGGTCATGTTTACTAAAGTGTGAGGACCTCTGTTCTAGATACAGGGGTTTGTTTTCCCAGAGAATTCATTTCTGATGTTACTGATAGTTTATTGCATATGAGGTAGGCTCTGGAGCAGTGTGCTTGGGCTTATATTCTGTTTCTGCTGTTTTCTGTCTGTGTGACCTTGGACAAGTTACTTAACTACTTTATGTGTTGTCATAAAAATCATTGTAAGAGCTGGGTGTGGTGGCTTGTGCCTGTAATCCCGCTACTTGGGAGTCTGAGGCAGAAGGATGGCAAGTCCCAGACCAGCCTGGCCAATATAATAAGACCCTGCCTCAAGAAAAATAATCTTAAAAGTGTTTTATTTTTTTGGGGGGGGTGGCAGTACTGGGGTTTGAACTCAGGGCCTCATGCTTGCTAGGCAGGTGCTCTACTGCTTGAGCCACTTCACCAGCCCTTTTTGGGTTGGGTGTTTTTGAGATAGGGTCTCTTGAACTCTTTGGCTGGGGTTGGTTTCAAACCATGATCCTCCTTATCTCTGCCTTCTTGAGAGCTTGTTTGGAGGTTCTAGCAGGGGAGCACAGCTACTCGTATACCCTTGACCGAAGAATGGTCCTCCTCTATTGGGGATGGTCATCCTCTTTGCACAGCTTTGGGAGGGATGCACATGGAGTGGTGAGGGAGAAAGGGGACACCCACCTACCCAGCCAGATCAGCTGAATCAACCTTGGTGATCAACGAGGTGACAGATGTCGCAGCCAGATCTCCCTCACATCTTTATCTCTGCCTCCTGAGTAGCTAAGATTACAGGCATGAGCCACCAGTGCCAAGTTCATTGTAAAAGTTTAAGATGAGATAATGGGGTTGGGGGTAGCTCAGTTGTATAGTGGTTGTGTAGCATGCATGAGGCCCTGGGCTCAATCCCTAGCACTGGAAAAGAGAGAGATGCATGTGCGCATGCGTACACCCACACACCCACACGCACACACCCCCCACCCACATGCATGCACACATGCACACGCACACCCACATGCACACCCACACCCATACCCACATGCACTCACATGCACCCACACCCCCCCACGCACACCCACACGCACACACTCACACACCCACAGACCCACAGAGAAAGAATGGTAGTAGAGTTATTGAGAGGAATACATAGATAATACATTAAAATTAGAACAGTGCTCGGCATTCTCAAAAGATGTCAGCAGTTATAGGAATTAATGCAGGTACTAGTTGGGTAAGGATATAAGAATTGTCATGGAGTAAAAGTTGACACTAGTAAGTAAGCACTTGTAAAATTTGCCCCTAATCATCCTTCAGCAGTCTGTTGATGTCAGTCTTTCCTTCACTTTGGGTTTCATATGACAACAAAATGCAAGTATGGGGAGAGGAAAAACGTAAATACAAGTACAATGCAAATGGATTGCTGGGTGAAATAGAATGGAAATCTTGCTGAAGATTTAGGCTTTTCTGAAGTCAAGTCAGGGGACAGCTGACCTGCCAGAATCATAGGCAAAGACTGACTGGCAGATTAGGATCTGAAAGAAACTTCAAGACTGATGACACTAGACACTCCCAAAAGAGACTTACCTGAACATTGAAGGATTAAGAGAAGCTCTTTGGGAAGTCGATGGAATTTTCTATGAAGTTTTGTGCACTCTTTTTATGCTTTTTCCATTAGCAAAAGCTAACTACAGTATAGTAGATTGTATTTTGCTTTCTTAATACTATCCTCTCCCTAATTAATTTAGATTAGAACCACAACTACATGTTGCTAAAATTCTTTGTTGTGAAATTGGCATGTGATTTCAGTTATAGTATTACTAGATGTAAAAACTTATTTTCATTTTTGTAGATAAAATCCAATTTTTCTCATTATTTCTTGTAATTTTTTTCATGGTGCTAGGGATTGAACCCAAAGCAATCCCAATTACAATTTGGGGACTGGGAATATGCTCAGTGGTGAAGCCCTGAGTTTTATCCCCAGCACCACAGAGGGGGAAAAAAAGAATACCATTGTTAATGGTATACACTTACCGTAAGTGTAATAATAGATCAGCTCCGGTTAGAATCTAGTTGTAGTGGGTAGTGCTTACACTCTAACAACATGTAACGCTGTCAGAGTCAGAATGTTAATGAGGGTGTGCGGAGTTTTGGGAGAGCCACTAGAACAGTTGAGTTATTCTTTTTTTGTTCCTGTAGTGATGACTTTTTGGGGGGTAGGGACGAAACCCAAGACCTTGTATATCTTTGGCAACTGATGTACCACTGAGTCAATCCCCAGTCTTTGTTTTTTGAGGGTCTCACTATGTAGCTTAGGCTGACCATGAACTTGATGTGTAGCCCATGCTGGCCTTGAACTCATATTCCTCCTGCCTCCCCATTGTGAGTGCTGGGATTGTAGACCTACACCACCATGCCTAGCCCCTTGCCTTTTATATGTTGAATTTAAAGCAAGCTTGTATTCTAGGTGGCTTGGCTAAAATGGAAGAACTTGGGAGCTAAGTATTACAGTTCTACTAGGCTGTTCAGCTTTCTCATCAGCCCAGATTCTCATGGAAATCAGAATTCTTCATTGGAATGGTGCCAGTGCAGGGTTACCTACCTTAGTTTGTGATGGGTGTCTTCAAAGTTGGACATGTAGGTCTGGTAATTCCCAACAAATGCTGTCAACCAGCTGATTAATTAACAAGAGGTGAGTTTTATGTCAAAAAAAGTTTAGGTGTGGTCCTGTCAAAGAAGAGAATTTCTTGAGGAGAGAGGCTGGATTTGGTGTTTTAACCTCTCATTGAGGTTTTTCCAAGCTTAATTCATTATGCCTTGTTCTTACAGATCCCAGCATACTAACACTTGTTTCACATATGCAGGAACCTCCTCTGCCTGTTCTTCGGATAGGGTCTTACTACATATTCCAGTCTGGCCTAGAGCTAGCTGTGTAGCCCAGGCTAGCTTTGCACTTGAGATCTTCCTGTCTCAACCTTCTCATTGCTAGGATTATAAGTGTGTACCACAATGCCTCATTTGCTGTCTAGTTTCCTTTTTTTCAAATTAAAAAATAAATAATAAAAAGTAGTATATGCTCCTTAAAGGGAGCTAGAAAAATTCCAAGAAGTGGAAAGAACTTAAAAGTGTATAGGTGTTTAATGAGACTTTCTCTGTCTTCCCAGGCTTAATTGGGAAAGTGACCCTTCAGATCCCCTTTTACCGCCCACATGTGGACCCATGGGTGATCTCCATTTCCAGCCTCCACTTGATTGGAGCCCCTGAGAAAATACAGGACTTCAATGATGAAAAGGAGAAGCTGCTGGAAAGGGAGCGCAAGAAAGCACTGCTTCAAGCCCTGGAGGAGAAGTGGAAGGCAAGGCACAGGGCCTTTGGCTGGAGGTTGCGGGGGTGATGACATTCCTTAGTGGCAAAGCACTGGGTCTGCTGACACTGGCTCTTTCCCTTGCAGAATGAACGCCAGCAGAAAGGGGAATCCTATTGGTACTCTGTCACTGCCTCAGTTGTGACAAGAATTGTGGAGAATATTGAAGTGAGTCCTGTTGACTTTTATGAAGAACAACTAACACAAAAGAGATTTCTCCAGTTCAGATGTGTTTCATCTCATAGTTGCTTGTTTCCCTTGGGTTTAATTTACACAGGGTGTCAGTTTTGGAGGCTGTGTCAAAGGGAAAACCAGAAAAGCAAGTCCTGTGCCCTGGTGCAGACACAGGTTTTTCTGGCTTCTGGTGTGAGTAGGAGTTCTCATTTCATTTACATTTCATGTACCGCACTTTCTTTTTGAGTGTTGGACTCCCACTTGCTGAAAGACATATCTCCTCAGAAGCCAGCTTACCTAAGCCCTGATGACTGTGTGGCTTCAGGGCAAATCACTTAACCTCTCTGGTCTCAGTTTCTTCATCTGTAAAGTGACAAATTGGGGACCTGGTGTCTGCACATTACATAGTGAATTGTGAACCAACACTAAGGGATCTAACCTCTTGCTCGTGTATCTGGTGGCAGTTGATGAGTTGCATTGCTGGCGGTGTTGGTCACATTTTCTTTAGTTTTGCTTTGTCTTCAAAAAGTGGGTCAGGGGCACATTAATTTTCATGAATGTCATGAGAGTTAGCCCATACTTGTGACACCAGGGTTTTCTTGCAGTGCCAGGGTGATGCAGGCCAAATGTATTCAGGGTAAGTCTTGTTCCCGAGAGATACAGTCTGAGGTTGTTGTTCTCATAACTTCTATTACTTTGACAAAAAAATTGGTGCATTTGAGTTCTGTTTCAGGAAGGGCTTTTTTTCTTTTTAGCTGGCATTGATTTTTTATTTTAGGTTTAATAACAACTTTATCAATGTGTAGTTCATATGTCAGAAAGTTCACCCTTTGAAAGTTACAAGTAGTGTTTCTCAGTATATTTATGAGGCAGTGCATTGAAAACAACTGTGTAATTCTGAAACATTTTCTCCCAAAAGAAACATCATTTCCAGTGGGTAGTCACTGCCAGCTTTCTTTCCAGGTCTTGACAACCTCTAATCTTTGGACATTTCATATCAGTGGAGTCATATGATATGTGGCCTGGCCAGTTTGATTTTAGCACAATGCTTTCAAAGTTCTTTCATGTATCCGTACTCCATTCCTTTTTTATGACTAGGTAACGTATCTGATTGTATGTATTGCCAAAAATAAACAGATCTGGACATTAGTTAAAGCAGTGGATCATTTATTCAGTAACTACTGATAGTAGGAGCAGGAGGTGAACTGCATTCTGATTTGTACAGAGATAGTGGAGGATTTTCAGGAGAGTGTGAGGTCGTCAGAAGGAAAGTGAGCGGTATTCTAGTGAGAAATTAGAAAGTGTTAGTCAGTGTGAGTGTGATTAGGCTTAGCTGTGTCTGCTGGCTGGCTGTGATCTGTCCTCCCACCAGATTGCAAGGCAGACAGACGCCTTGCCTTTCCTGATGATTACATGTGGTAGGAATTATTGCTCTCAGGTCCTTGAGAAAGATATTCCTGAGTTATAGGAAATATGTCTGTATGTATATAGATAGATAGATGCATCTATATATATATGTATCTCTCTCTCTATATATATATATGAGGGAGGCTTATCTATAAAAGGAGGGATTCACAGTTGTAAGCCTTTCTTAATAAATGCTCTTAAGAAAGTGAGGTCAGGGGCCTATGTCAGGTGTCAGCTAGAACAAACAGTAAATTCTTCTGTCAGTCCTAAGTTTTCCTAGGCAGGGGCCCGAGTTGTTCAGTGATGTGCCTTTAGGCTGCTAGAGGCCATGTAAAAGTTTTGCCAGGTCTCATGAGTGGAGTGTCTGTGTGGAGACTTTCTGCAGTTCTCAGCATACCTCATTTTGTTTTCCCATTATCAGTTGATGGACATTTGGTTTATTTCTGCTTTTGACTGTTACGAGTAATATTACTGTAAACATTTGTGCATTGTATTTTGTATGAACATGTTTTCAAGTTTCTTGAGTATGTATCTAGGAGAATTGCCAAATTACTTGGTAACTCTGTTTACTTTTGGAAGAGCTACCAGACTTTTCTGTGAAGAGGCTGCACTATTTTGTTAGTTACTTTTGTTGTTGCTGTGACCAGATAGCTGACAGAAATAACTTAAATAAGGGAGGACATGTTTTTCCTCCCAGTTTCAGGGGGTTGAGTTTATCATGGCTGGCTCTGGTTTCTGGGTCCATGGTGAGCATCATGGCACTGGGAACATGTGGTAGAGGCTGCTTACCTCATGGTGGACAGGAAGCAAAGAGCAAAAACAGAAAGGGGCCAGGGCAGGATACAGCCACCAAGGACACACCTTCAGTGACCTACTTCCTCCAACTAGGACCTATCGCCTACCCCTCACCTCCTCCCAGTAAGCCATCAATCAAGGGATTCATAATAGGTCTGAGCCCTCATGATCTGATTATCTCTGGAAACACCATCACAGACACACATTTACTAGCCTCTTAGGTGTTTCTCAACTCAATCAAACTGTCCCAATTCTATTACAATGCAATGAGCCTTTTAGTTTCTCCACATCTTCATCAGTACTGTTACTTTCTGCCTTTCAATTATAGCCAGACAAGTGGGATGAAGTGATAACTTGCTGTTTTGATTTGCATTTCCATGTTTGTTTTCCATATGTGTACCTTTTTTAAGCAGTTCTGGGATTGAACTCAGGAGCTTTCTCTTGCTAAGCATGTACCTCTGAGCTGCATTCCCACCTCAGCCCACCCTGGTTATTATTTTTGTTATTATTTTATTATACGAAGTTTATGTCCCTTGCTGGTATTCCTGGGCCTAGATGAAGGGACATAGAGACAAGATTAATGTATCACTAGAGCAGCAGGACCAATTACCTGGACACAATGGTATTGCTCTGTTTAAATGTTTAAGTTATCGTCTGAAATGATTTCATGAAAGTATTGGAGCTCTTTCTTTCTTTCTTCCTTCCTTCCCCCTTCCTCCCTCCCTCCCTCCCTCTCTGCCTTCCTTCCTTCCTTCCATCCTTCCTTCCTTCCCTCCCTCGCTTGCTCTCTCTCTCGCTTTCTTTTCTTTCCCTCCCTCCCTCCCTCCCTCCCCTCCTTCCCTTCGTTCTTTCCTTCTCCCTCCCTCCTTCCCTTCCCCTTCTTTCTTTTCTCTTTCTTTCTTCCCCTTCCTCCTTTCTTCCCTCTTCCTCCCTCCCTCCCTCCCTCCCTTCCTTCTTTCCTTTCTTTTGCAGGGTCTTTCTGTGTTAACCCAGGCTGTCCTTGAATTTGAGCTCTTTCTGCCTTGGCTCCTGAGTGTGTAGCTTTCTTCTTGAGACTGTCATGGCTGTGTAGCTTGTGATGATACCCCTCTTAGGAACTTTCAGAATAGTGGTGTGTGTGTATGGTTTGTATAAAAGGTCTGCTTTGGTTTATTCTAGAGGTTGAAGGGCAGTTTGACTCCTCCTGTAGCATTCCACCTGCAGTGGCTGTCTAAATGTGTTTTTCCTTCTTTCTCCCCTTTGTAGTTAAAAATTCAAGATGTCCACTTACGCTTTGAAGATGGTGTTACCAGTCCTTCCCATCCTTTTGCATTTGGTGTCTGCATTAAGAATGTATCCATGCAAAATGCCGTGAATGAGCCTGTGAGTATGAAATCTGACTGCAAACCAGGAAGAAAGCAGTATTCTGGGGAATTTGGGACTCAGCCTTTCCTATTCAGTGTGAAGTAAAGGAGATTGCATTCTTTCACCTCCAGGGTGAGTGTGCCTGTCTCTTGTCTGTTAGGCAACAAAAACGAATTTGCTGAGAAAGGGAAACAGTTAATGTTCTCCAACCTTTGGCTATATCCCTTTCATTTTAAACACAAAGAAACTGAGCTGCAGAAAGGATTTCATCCTTGATTTTCTTCATATATGTCACTTCTTGGGGAAACTTATTCTCTTTCATAGTTTCAGCTGCCACCTGGAAATGTTTCCCCATGATTTCCTTATCTTGAATTCTACTCTCTACTTCTCCTGTGACACACGTATTTCATGATTTTTAAACTAATTGTGTGAGGCTTCTGTGGCGTTTTAGTCTTGTCTGACAAAACTGTTTCTCTGCATTCTTTGCCCCCCATTTTTTTTTTTTTGAGATAGTGTCTTCTAGTCCAGGCTGGCTTCAAATTCTCCATCCTTCTGCCTCAGCCTCTGAGTGCCGGTGTGCACTACCACAATCACTTGTCTTATAGTTCAACTTCGGATACTAACAAGAGCTAATGTAGGCCCAGTCCTTTTTGCTTTAGTTATTTTTCATGCTTGCTGCCTGGGCTGGCCTGGCCTCAGACTGTGATCCTAGTACCTCTGCCTCCTGTGTAGCTGGGATTGTAAATATGAATTACCATGCTGGCTTGTTTGTTGAGATGAGGGTCTTGCTAACTTTTTCCCCAGGCTAGTCTTGGGGCTGCAGTCCTCCCAGATATATACCTCCTGAATAGTTGGGATTACAGATGTGAGCCACCATGCCTGGCCTTACAACAGTCTTAAATGTGGTTCTTCCTCTTCATCTTTATGGGACTACCATCCTTTAAGGTCCTGTCAACCTTTTCTTGGGATGGTGAAATATCTGGTTCTGTGACCTTCAGGTTCTTTTGGTTCATTCTGTACTAGTGCTTCCTGATCTTTTCCATGTCATGGCACGCATAGAGAAAGATGGGACTTGTTCAGTACAGGGGCAAAGATGGCTGCAGCTGCGTAGGACCAGAGTGGCTGGACTCAGCACGGTATGCAGACGGTTTCCAAGATGCAGTTTGCTCCAATAAACTTGCTCATTGTATGAATATACTCGGGGCTTGTTTGTCCTGGCACACCTGGTAGAAGCTCTGCCTTCCTCTGCCACTCAGGTTTGTGTCTAAACCCATGCCTGGTCTTGGTGCTTGCCCTCATTAAAACCTGCAGTGCCCCATGGAATTTAGTGTCAAGTCCAAAGTCCTTAGTTTGGCATCAACTTCTTTCATAGTGTATTTGTTCCAGCATTTGCTGGAACACATTGTCACAAGCTGGGCAGCTTAGAACTACACAGATTTACTCTCTAGTTGTGGAGACCAGAAGTCTGAAGTCCAGGAGCCAGAAGGATGGTCCTGCAGAGGCCCAAGGGAGACGCTGTCCCATGCCTCTATCCTTATTTTTGGTATCTCAGCTTGTAGATGCCTCACTCTGACCTCTGCCTCCATCTTCATGTGACTTTGTATCTGTTTCTCTTCTTATAAGGATCCCATTCATTAGATTAGGTCCTATACACACCCAGCATAACCTCATTTTGACTTGATTATATGTGTAAAGACACAAATAGGAACACAGAGCTTCTGGGTAGGGGAGAAACTTGTCCAATCCAGTATCCCCAGAACATTCCAAGCTACTTTTTTCTCATTACTTCCTCACTCCAATTGTGCAGTCATGCACATGTATCAGTACTGCCTCTACTCACTGGGCCCTGTAGATGGGAGACCTTTCTAGTTGACCCAAGCCCTTCCTCTTATGCAGCCATGTATGTGAAGCTTACATGTGTTTTGATACTTGCGCAGTGATGTTTTTGGTTTCTCATAGCATCTCATATATTCTTACTTTACATCTTCTGTGTAACTAAAGTTATTTGTTTTCATGTTTGTATCTCTCGCTGGTTAGATTTTAAACTCTGGGAGAGCAAAACCATGTTCAATTTAGTCACATGTGCCCAGCACCTTGTAAAGTACCTGGCACACGATGTCTCACACGTTTTGTTGAGCAAATGAATATACTCATGACTAAAGAGTAATAAATATACTCATGACTAAAGAGTAATAAATATATTCATGACTAAAGAGTAATAAATATACTCATGACTAAAGAGAGTCATCCTATTTTCTCCCTGTCTTTTTACCTCAGGTACAGAAATTGATGCGGAAAAAACGATTAGATGTGGCAGAGTTTAGCATCTATTGGGATGTTGATTGCACTTTGTTGGGAGATTTGCCTCAGGTGGAGTTACAGGTATGGTTCTGGTGTGGTTGTGGCAGAGGGCTTTGCAGGACAGCACTGAAGGAAAGTGGTGCAGAATCACCACCTTGTAGATCGCTGTCTCCTGCATGTGAGATCCATCCCTGACCCTCTGTTCTTCTGTCAGCAGCTGGTCTCAAGTGTGTTTGCCTCAGGTGCTTGCTATGTCTGGAACTTTGACCAGCATTGTGTATGTTTTAACCTTCCATCAGAACACTGGTTTCTTTGTTTTCTTTCCACTGACGGTTATGTTTTCAAGGTGTGTTTGTATTGCTAGCTCATTGCTTCTCAACACTGCTTACTATTTTGCTCTCTGCTGGTAATGTAGTATTGGTTCCATTCTACTGACCACCATGCATGGGATTCAGATTTCAAATGGACAGTCACAGAGCTGAATGTTAAAGAGGACCTCTCTTACTGTGCTTTGTGGTGAAATGTCACCTTTCCTGGCGTTCCTTTAAGAGATTTTTAGAAAGTTATAAATCATCAGATATAATGTGTTTCTATTTGTAAGGGATAAAAATGCTTAATTTAATCTTTTTGTTAGGAGTTGTAGGTGGTTTAAGTGAAATGGAGAAAAGTGACTAGTTTATTCCTCCACCCAAGGTTATCATTGGCTTGCAAACTATTGTACACAATGCATTTGGTTTTGCTAATTTGATTAAGTGAATATTGTATCCATATGGTAGAACATTATGTAGTTGTTAAAAATAAAGATAAAGATCTTTATGATGAATACATGATCGTTCCTAAGAAAGAGTATCAGAGTTTAAAAAAAAACTAAGAACAGCTTTTTTAGTGTTTATGTTCTTATTTTTATTTTTTGAGTATTTTTTTGGCTGTACTGAGGTTTGAATTTAGGACTTCATGTTTCCTAGGCAGGTGCTCTACCACTTGAGCTATTTCACCAGCCCTTTTTTTTTTTTAACCATTTGTGTAAGAGAACAGAACATTATAGATTTTCCTGAATATACAGAATGCCTCCAGTGGAAGATGTAAGCAGTGATAGGCAGCACTGATTGCCTCTGGTGGGTGAGAGTAGGGAAAAGACAGTTCACCTTTTCTCTTGTCTTCTCTTCTCTCTTTTCTTTTCTCTCTTTTCTCTTCTTTTCTTGTACTGGGTTTGAATTCAACCTTTCCTTGCTAAGCAAGCATTCTTTAACACTTGAGCCACACCACAGCCCCTTTTGCTTCAGTTTATTTTCCAGGTAAGTTCTCACTTTTTCTTGGGGCCAGTCTTGGACTGCGATCTTACCTTTACCTCTTGCATAGTGGGATTATAGATGTGCACTGTCACCCTTGGCCCTCACATTTTCAATTTTAAACTGTGCAAATGTGTTACCTATGAAGAAATATGAATAACACTTAAAAAATACTAGAGAGAGCTGAGCGCTGGGGGCTCATGCCTGTAATCCTAGCTACTTAGGAGGTAGAGATCAGGAGGATCCCGGTTTGAAGCCAGCCTGGGCACACAGTTTGCAAGACCCTGTTTTGAAAATACCCAACACAAAAAAGGGCTGGCAAAGTGCCTCAAGTGGTAGAGTGCCTGCCTAGCAAATGTGAGGCCCTGAGTTCAAAACTCCAGCACCTCACACGTACGTACACAAAGCATACTAGAGAGCTTTAGGATGTGATTTTATGCTATTTTTTGGGTTCTGACATAACGTACTGAGATCAGGTGACATTTGTTGCTATGACACAAGTGACTGTTCGTTATACAATCCCAACACTGGAAAAGCTGGTGAGCAGAAGGAAGGCCGGCTTGGTCAGCACAGATGCTCTCGTACATGCAGGAAGCCATGGCCAGGAGCACGGACAGTCGCAGTCACCACTACATCCTGGAGCCTGTGTGTGCCTCTGCTCTCTTGAAGAGAAACTGTTCCAAGGAGCCCCTGAGGTCCCGGCACAGTCCCCGAATTGAATGTGACATTCAGCTGGAGACCATTCCCTTGACGCTGTCTCAGGTACACCCTTTCCTCCCAGGCTCAGACTCACTGCCAGACTACTGGTGGGGGTGAAGGATGGTGTTAATGGACAGTCTTGATACTTAACAGTGTCCTCAGTGAGACCATTTCCCTCACGATCAAAGTTGCGTTAGGTTAAAATCCACTTTCTGTTATGAAGTGACATTGGTTTCATCTCTTTGACGTGATGTTTTTGAGCTCTGAGCAAAGAGTACAGAGAGGCAGTGAGTGCAAACATGGAGCTTTGGATCACGGGTCAGCAGGTTCACTCACGTGAAGTATTCTTGTTAGATGTAGGTCCAAACTGAGTAGAAGAACCAAATACATGCTAACCTAGTATCTCTTAATCTGTCTGAAAAGCTGCAATACCGGCAAGTCATGGAATTCCTCAAGGAGCTGGAGCGAAAGGAGAGGCAGATGAAGTTCCGAAAGTGGAAACCGAAGGTGGCAGTATCCAAGAAGTAAGGGCTGGTGTACACAATGTGTGAATTGTGTTTCATGCGTGTTCTTTTCCAGGAAGGGTCCCTCATGGCCCTTTGCGTGTGCCTGCAGATAGAAATACAGTCGATTTAACTTGGGTACAGTTGGTTAAACTTTAAACCTTGTGAGGTTGTTAACCATGGAGAAGTAGAAATAGTATTGAGGATGGAAGGGCCATTGAGCATCTGTTCTAATTGTTGATACAAATATTGTATATTTATTCAGGGAAGGTTTGCTCTTAGGGCAAGTGTAATGAAATTCAGGTCATCCTCAGCCTCCTTCAGCAGTAGACTTCTGTTGCTCTGGTGGGGTTGGTGTACAGTAAACACTCTGCAGTATTCTTTGAACCTACTTTTCTATATTTTTTCTCCCAGGCTGTTTGTTCAACATTTATGCATATCATAGTGTACTTTCTAATTTTCAGAGCAAAAATAAATCCTCTGTCCATGTTATAGTGATAAACTTGACCAGTCTGACATACTAAAACTTTCTTAAGACCCTGTGTATTCCCATGTATCTTCCTAGAAATTCAGTTTAATATCTTTATTAGTGGAATTGTCTTAGGATACCATCTGCCTTACAGTCAGCACTTGAGTCCTCCTCAGTGGAGGGGCTGACACCACAGGTCATGTTGCTGTTGATATGCAGCAACCTAGTGGGGGGCTGGTTTTGGGTTTCTTTGGCCACAGGTACTTTTCCCACATATTTTTAAAAATGAGCTTGAGACATAAAGCTGTGACTGATGAGAGAAAAAAGAGTCTCTGAAGAGGAATAATGGTATGTGGATTGTACTGAATCGACAGCACTGTAGTGCCTCATGCTGTGAGAAGTGACACATGGCATGGACTCTTGCAGCTGCCGAGAGTGGTGGTATTTTGCTTTGGATGCTAACTTATATGAGATCAGAGAGCAGAGGAAGCACTGTACCTGGGACTTCTTGTTGCACCGTGCCCGTGACGCTGTCTTTTACACCGACAAATATTTCAGCAAGTTAAAAGCAGGTGTGCTATCTGCAGATGACAAGGTGAGTGGACTGCTGGCTTTCGTACTTTCTTTCAGTATTCTCTCAAGGGCTGAAAAATACGTAATCTGTGAAAATGAGGTCCAAGGGACCATTTTGCAGGGTTGAGTTGATTTTAGTAATCTTCCCACTCTGCTGAGGCCATTAGCCTCACCCTGGCCAGAAGCATTCTCTCCCTGTGCTGCCTGAGGAGAGCCAGGTCATAGGAAGGAGGAAGGTAAGGCTCTGGTCCTGCCAGGTCTTTTTGCCACACCCGCTCCATATCTTTATGCAGGGCTCAGAGTGACTGGTATTGTTTTTTTTTTTAAACTTCTTTTTTTGTTTTCTTTATTCATATGTGCATACATTGTTTGGGCCATTTCACCCCCCTGCCCCCCATCCCCTCCCTCTCCCGAGACTGGTATTATTCAAGTCCTGATCCTAGTCCTAATTCTTATCCTCTGAAGTCTGTAACTAATCCCTGTGGACTCTGGCCTTCATTTCCCATAATCCCCAGTTACCTTGGGTTTTTTAGTGTTAGATGTGAAGCAGAAGGGGGTGCCATAGATGGCGAAGGCAACAAGCCCACATTTGAATTACCTGTAGGCTGAGACCCTAGAACCACACCTACCAGAGTCCTGTGAAGGGACCCACCCCTCCCCTGGTCTGTCTGCCTGTCATCTCCCAGGGGAATGAAGGGGGAATACTTTGTTCCTTGATATGTTTTGCTTTTGTAAGCATCAAGTTTTCAAAATAGCAATTTAGAACATGTCCAGTATTTCGGTTCAGGCAATATCTCTTCACTATTTGTTTAGCAGACTCTTCCAAGCAGAAAGGAATAGTCCCTTCCTGTCAGCACCCAGTGTGGTAGCCAGTGTACTGCTCCCCCACCCCGTTCTCATCTGTTCTGCCAGCACCCTGAGGCCTGGCCCCTTACTTATTGATGCTCTCTTCATCAGTGACACACATGGCACTGACATAGGAACCTGTGGGAAGGATGGCATAAGCTGGGTTTGGTTGGTTTTCTTGATGGTACAGGCTAAGACATGGAGGGAAAAAAAAATCTAAATTACTACCAAGGTGGCAAAGCAAACACACAGAATCTCCTTTTTCTCAATTTTAGGGTTTAAGAAACAGTTTAAGATAGGTAATTCTACTTATTTTTTAACTTGGCAAGTAGCTAGTTACCATTGCTCTGTCTTAACTGACTTGAGACAAGTTAAAACAGCCATGTCTTTGCTAAGACATCATATGAAACATGAGCACACTTACTGTGTAAGCTGAGTCCTCAGTGTCCCCCTGTGAAGGTGGGAAGAGTGACAGTCCTGTTGTGTGCAGTGGGAACATGTGCACTGCAATGACCCATTGAAAGTGTGTCACTGGTCCTTGTGTGCTTTCTCTAGCCATCACTCATGGAAACTGTGAATTTGTCACTGATATTTTGAGACCAAATATAATCTGCTGGAGTTTAGGAAAACTTTTTTTTTTTTTAATACATTTTCACTAGTTGTACAGGGTGTTTTATTGTGACATTTCCATATATTCTTAAAATATACATTGATTAGATTTATTATCTCTGTCATTTGCCCTCATCCTCCTCTCCTGTTTCTTAAAACAGTTTCAACTGGTTTCATTTGTTCTACTTTCATACAAATGGGAAGAAGTCCTGTTTAAATCAGAAATAGCAATTATGGTACTAGCTGTTTGTCTTGTTCTTGGCCTTCAGTGAATTATCAGGGCCAGTTGTTCCTTGATAGTTTGTGAGGGTGTCCAGTTTCTCCACAGCTACAGTGTGTGGTATTTTTGTTTTGCTTTCACCTGAGTAGGAGGAAATGTGTCGGATTGAGGAGGAGCAGAGCTTCGAGGAACTGAAGATTCTGCGTGAACTGGTTCATGATCGATTTTATAAGCAAGAAGAACTAGCAGAGGTAAGGAACCCTCAGATTTGTTCTATCCTAGTGCACTCTGAATGCTTCCGTGTTGATGTGCTTGTGCTTCTGTGGGGGACAAATGGCAGCCAGTGGCACCTCCCCCAGCTCGCTTCTATCCCTGGTTGGTTACATCTCTCCTTTGCCGTTGCAGAGTCTACGAGAGCCTCAGCTGGACTCCCCAGGACCCTGTCCTGGGGACCTGGATGCTGGTGGAGGCAGTGGGATGCTGCAGTACCTGCAGTCCTGGTTTCCTGGATGGGGTGGCTGGTATGGGCAGCAGAGCCCTGAGGGGAAAGCGATGGAAGGACTGTCAGCTGAGCCGCATGAGCAGTGGACTCCCGAAGAGATCCTGGGTACGATGGGAGCTGGCCTGTGCTTGCCTACTTGGCCATGAGGAGGGAACATTAGTTCCTAAAGTGGAATAGCCCATAGTCATTTTCACGTTTAAATGAAGGAGACATTTGGAAAACAGTTTGTTTCATGTTCCTAGAGGCAGAGAGAAGAAATGATTTGGGAGAGATCCATGTACAACTCCATGACTGACTATGAATACTGGCACAGTTTTAGATATGTCTGAGTGGCAGTTATTGCCAGACAACTAAATAACTAAATTTGTTCACAAATCTTAAACTCCAGAGCTTGATACCAGTCCAGAGGGGCTCTTTAGACCTGTGCTGCCTGATGTGATCCTTAGCACAAATGGCGGTTTTTTTTTTTTTTTTGGATGGTACTGGGGTTTGAACTTTAGGCCTCATGCTTGCTAGACAGATACTCTACCACTTGAGTCCTCCATCAGCCTCACAAATGGCTATTTAAATTAATTAAAATTAAATAAAAGTAAAAATTGTTTTTTTAATTGTACTAGCCAAATCAGCCATGTGTCATGTATGCAGAGTAGTCCCATGTGGGTTAGTGGCCACTGTCCTGGATGACCCAAACATAGACCATCTCACCACATCAAATAGTGATGTCTCACATTGTGTTTTCTTGTGAGTTGTTCACTTTCTGGTTTGATAATAAGTTGACAAGAGTCTTATAACACTTAGGGTCATTTTATATTAGCAAATAAGGTAGTCACTTGTCAACTTCCAAGCTCTTCCTGAGAAGAGAAGTGGTTGTGTGGCATCACCTGCTGGCAAGCATGCCTGATTGTGCTTGCTTTGCTCCCATGCCTTCTCTCAAAGCCTGGTTTCCCTTGCCACATAGGCACCGAGGAGTTTTTTGACCCTACTACCAGTGCCTCCTGTATGAACACCTACACCAAGCGAGATCATGTCTTTGCCAAGCTGAATTTGCAGTTGCAGCGGGGAACAGTGACTCTGCTACACAAGGAGCAAGGAGCGCCCCATGTGGAGGAAAGTGCGTTCATGCAGCTCGAGTTTTCAGGTACTGCCCAAAAGAACTAGCTGCTGCTGTTTCTCTTTTAGTCGCCAGCATACAGTTGATTTTCATTTAGAAAGTTGCCCAAACATTGATGAACCACTGGTCCTAGGGAATGCTCAGGGATAGGTTCCTGTGAGACCCTGGCCATAACACTTATCCACTCATCAGTACGTTGAACTCATGGCCTGCAGCACTGTAACTTGTGCTGCACAAAGTTTATCTAATGTTTGTATTTTCTCTGTAAATTGCCTCACAATCTTCTCATACTTAGGACCACTAGATGGCACTTGAGCACATACTTGACCTACTTAGTTATTATTTATTAGTTTAGTGGTGCTAGAGAGGGAACCAGGGCCTAGTGCATGTCAGGCAAGTGCTTTAACAGTGAGCTACACCTCCAGCCTCAATGGGCTATTTTTAAAATTCTTCTTTTGTGGTACTGGGGCATGAACTTGGCCTACACCTCGAGCCACTCCAGCAGCCCTTTTTTTTTTGTGTTGGGTATTTTTGAGATAAGGTCTCATGAACTATTTGCCTGGGCTGGCTTCAAACCACGTTCCTCCTGATCTCTGCCTCCTGAGTAGCTACGATTTTAGGTGTGAGCCACCGGCACCTGTCTCCCACTGGGCTATTTTAAATATCAAAATCACAAACAAAAGCAGAGGAGAATAGGAAAACCAGGGTTCTAAACAGACCAGGAAAAGGACGCTTATTACAGTTTGACAGCTAGTACATGGAGGCAGGGCACTGTCTCCATGTGAGCTCACTTGGGAATAAGCACATTGGGTCTCAGTATTTTTGCTGCTCTGTGTCTGAATGACCAAAGAAGTGCTGTGAGTACTGATTTTGGGGTTCCATATACATTTCAGCAATAGGTGCACCTTCAGAATCTAAATGGTGAGGATTAACTGTATTTGGTTGCTCTTTGTGACTTTGGATTAATCATGTGTAAGTAAATACTCAGATGTCGATTTGTATGTCTCAGTTATTTTTCAGTTCATGAACAGGAACTTATCTGAGATGCCTCAGTGGTTTAAGAAGAGTTTAAAAAAAAAACCAAAAGCCCATTTGCTTGACTTCATAATCTTGAGACAGAGCTATTTAAACTTAGTGTGAACCAGTGGATCTTAAACTTAATTGTAGCCTGTTTAAAAATCTTTCTGTTGGGAAACTTCTAATAGTGCTTATATATTTATGTAGACAGACAGATACATAGGTAAGGTTTTTTTTTTTTTTTCTCTAATTTCATGGAAAAGTAGTTTATAGTATCTAATAGTGCTCTGTAAAATATAGTACCTAACGTTTTTAGAAATACAGTAGATATCATGACATATCACTGCTTACATTTATCTATTGTAGATGTAAAACTTCTAGCAGAATCTCTTCCTCGAAGAAATTCCTCCTTGCTTTTGGTCCGGTTAGGCAGGACTGTTTCTTCGAGACCTGGTGACGGAAGGAACTATGTTTCCTCTTCTGGTCTTCCCTAATCCGGTATGTATCGCAGCCTGGCTCACACATCTGTGTGTTACAGAATTGCATCTGTTTTAGGGAAACAATAAGTAATAGTAACCCGATTCATTCTGTCATTTGATCATTTTGAGACAGATAGATTTCTTTCTTTCTTTTTTTTTTTTTTTTTTCGGTACTGGGGCTTGAACCCAGGGCCTACACCTTGAGCCACTCCACCAGCCCCTTTCTGTGAAGGGCTTTTCGAGATAGGGTCTCTTGTGAACTATTTGCCCGGGCTGGCTTTGAACCACGATCCTCGTGATCTCTGCTTCCATAGTAGCTAGGATTACAGGTGTAAGCCACCAGTGTCTGGATTCAGGTAGGTTTCTTGAGTTTGTTAGAGAAAAAATGTTGGTGAGACTTATGGCTATGCCTTCTTCCCTTCCTTTGTTGTAGCCATCATGGAATAGTTTGATCTGTTTTGGAAGAAAATGCTATGAGAACTATTTTCTGTACTTCAAGGTCAATGTTTGAATTTCTTCTGTATCTGATAGTCATTTTCATGCATTCTGACCTGCAGTCATTAATATGAGTAATTGAATTCCTTGTTTTGTTTTCTGGTGGTACTGGGAGTTAACTCAGGGCCTCATGCTTGCCAGTCAGGTGCTCTACCATTTGAGTCTCTCCCCCAGTGTTATCGATATAAGATCTCATCTTTTTAGAGTTCCAAAAGGGAACCATCTCAAATTTTCTATATATGTTCAATGTTTATATATGAAATGTTTATAAGGTCTTTGATCTTATTAATTTGGCAAAGGTGTGGTCCAATAGTTGATTTCCATTTCCCCTGTCTGTAATTCTGTTTGGGAGACTGGGGCGTGGTTTGGGAGAGGGTGGGAGGGGATTGCATCATTTGAAAAGTTACACATGTTTAGGATCCATTTAATAATCATTAGATGTGCTAAATGCACATCTGTCTCTGCAGAGGGAAAGACTTTGTCTTACTAGGTCTGGAAAAAGGCACAAAACTAAACAAGTCTGTAAGTACTCACTAATCCAGAGTGAATTCAATTTTGATTCATTTCCATTAAGAGGGAGTGATGCTGAAGGGTGAAGTGTGTGTGTGTGTGTGTGTGTGTGTGTGGTGTGTGTGAGTGGCACAGTGTTTCCTCTCAATCTCCTACTGACTCATTTTTCTATGTGTGTTTAATAGCAAAAAGAAGTTGGCAGAGTTTCACAGTCTTTTGGTCTCCAAACCACATGTGCAGACAGAAGTGATCAATGCCCTGGTAATTTGTCGTATGTTCGTAAAACGAATCCTTACAAACTCCATTTTTTCAATCAGTAGTCCTTGTAGTAGTAGAAGAGGGAGTGCTTTCTGTATTGTGCTCGGTGGTTTGCTGTGTGGATCTGTGTTTGTCCTGGAGGCAGCCTGGCACTCTCTCTGTGTGACTGGGTGGGACTGGTCATTAGCCTGGGGTTCACTGGGGCAGTCAGGCAGGGCCTCGGGGGCACTGATTTCCATAATGGGAAGGAATAAAGCAGCCCAGCCCTTGTGATTCCTGTTGAAAATTAAAAAGACAGCCTTTATTAGACTCTGTCTCTAAAATTTGCATCATTGTGGGATGATTGGAAAATAATTTAGAAAATGTCTTTTTTCCCCAGAATTTTCACAAGTCTGTTAAGAGTAAGGGGATTGTTTTTGCTGTGTTTCATTCTCTTTCTTCTGCTCTTTCCTTTAGCTGCAGACCCAGACGACCCAGTTTTTGAGATGCTATATGAGAGAAATCCAGTACACAGTCATTTTGCGAGGCGGCTAAATGTCAGCACGAGGCCGTTGAACATCATTTATAACCCCCAGGCTATTAAAAAAGTAGCAGACTTTTTCTACAAGGGAAAGGTTCATACCTCAGGTTAACTTTTTTGTTTGTTTGATATTATGTTGCTTTAAAAAAATCTTTCTTATCATTTCTGGTGCTCTGAATAAAGCTATTATATATTTAAATGACCTGATATTGGTAGAAGAGACTGCAGAATAAGTGGACGGGGTTGTCCTGAGATATTGAATCAGGGACTGTGTCCCTAGAGTCTCTTCTCCCAGAGACATTAGCAGCTGTGTGTATTTTTGTTTCTCTTTAGCATGCGTTTTTTGTTTTGTTTTGTTTTTTTCTTACTTTTCATTCCATTAGGGTGGTGGTTTTGAGACAAGTGAACTGAGGAGGAATGTTCAAGAATTTCCTTCTAGTTGGTGGAGTGGCTCAAGTGCAGAGTGCCTGCTTAGCAAGCATGTGTGAGGCCCTGAGTTCAAACCCCAGTATCGCGCCCCCCCCAAAAAAAGAATTTTATTCTAGGTTACAGGATCAGTGGTTTCTTTTACTTGCTGGTGCAGCATTTTAAAACTGCAAAGTTCTAAATGTCATTTCTTTATGCTTCCCTTTGTTTCCAAGGAAAGATGTGAGACAATAAGTACAGAAAAAGCACTTTTATTGACAGGGAGATTGATAAAATAATAGCATTTTCCCAAATGTATTGTTTCATCCTTTATAACAATGAAGCTCTTCTAGTTTTTTGCCCGGTGTTTGAGACCTTTCATGTAAACAGTTGCCATAAATGTCAAGGCTTCTTTCCTTAGTTCAAATAGAGAAGGCATTTCCTTCTAAATTCTGTTCTTTTGTAGGAAGAAAAACATTTTTCTTTTCATTCCATTTTTGTAATGTCCTTTTTTGTGAGGTTTTAAAATACAGTAGTTTGGAATCTTTCAGAAAATGTTTTAAGACATTCTAGTAGCTTAGGTACCTTTTCTCATGTTCCTCTTTTGCCTCCATGGCTGGTTTTTCTACTATCTGCCTCATTCCCGTCATGCTGTGTATGCCAGGTCATGTCAGAGTAAGGAGCTGCTTTTGTTGCTGTTTTTTTTTAGCTTTGGTGCAAGTCGTTCATGAGAACAGGTATTGCAGCATTTTATCTCCCTAGCCATTGGAAATTTCTGAGTATCCTGTGTATTTCCAATCTGCAGGTTTTGGCTATCAGTCTGAACTTGAGGTGAGAGTAGCTGAAGCAGCTCGAAGACAGTACAACAAGCTGAAGATGCAGACCAAGGCAGAAATCCGACAGACTCTTGATCGTTTGCTAGTGGGGGATTTCATTGTAAGTGACCTCACAGGATGTGCTTCAGGGATCGGGGAAGGGCGGCATTTTTTTTTTTTTTTTTTTATTCATATGTGCATACAATGCTTGGGTCATTTCTCCCCCCTGCCCCCACCCCCTTCCTTACCCCCCACTCCACCCCCTCCCTCTCCCCCCCACCCCCACAATACCCAGCAGAAACTATTTTGCCCTTATCTCTAATTTTGCTGAAGTGAGAGTATTAGCAATAATAGGAAGGAACAAGGGGTTTTGCTGGTTGAGATAAGGATAGCTATACAGGGAGTTGACTCACATTGATTTCCTGTGCGTGGGTGTTACCTTCTAGGTTAATTCTTTTTGATCTAATCTTTTCTCTAGTTCCTGGTCCCCTTCTCCTATTGGCCTCAGTTGCTTTTAAGGTATCTGCTTTAGTTTCTCTGCGTTAAGGGCAACAAATGCTAGCTAGTTTTTTAGGTGTCTTACCTATCCTCACCCCTCCCTTGTGTGCTCTCGCTTTTATCATGTGCTCAAAGTCCAATCCCCTTGTTGTGTTTGCCCTTGATCTAATGTCCACATATGAGGGAGAACATACGATTTTTGGTCTTTTGGGCCAGGCTAACCTCACTCAGAATGATGTTCTCCAATTCCATCCATTTACCAGCGAATGATAACATTTCGTTCTTCTTCATGGCTGCATAAAATTCCATTGTGTATAGATACCACATTTTCTTAATCCATTCGTCAGTGCTGGGGCATCTTGGCTGTTTCCATAACTTGGCTATTGTGAATAGTGCCGCAATAAACATGGATGTGCAGGTGCCTCTGGAGTAACAGTCTTTTGGGTATATCCCCAAGAGTGGTATTGCTGGATCAAATGGTAGATCGATGTTCAGCTTTTTAAGTAGCCTCCAAATTTTTTTCCAGAGTGGTTGTATTAGTCTACATTCCCACCAACAGTGTAAGAGGGTTCCTTTTTCCCCGCATCCTCGCCAACACCTGTTGTTGGATACCACATTTTCTTAATCCATTCGTCAGTGGTGGGGCATCTTGGCTGTTTCCATAACTTGGCTATTGTGAATAGTGCCGCAATAAACATGGGTGTGCAGGTGCCTCTGGAGTAACCTATGTCACAGTCTTTTGGGTATATCCCCAAGAGTGGTATTGCTGGATCAAATGGTAGATCAATGTTTAGCTTTTTAAGTAGCCTCCAAATTTTTTTTCCAGAGTGGTTGTACTAGTTTACATTCTCACCAGCAGTGTAAGAGGGTTCCTTTTTCCCCCGCATCCCCTCCAACACCTGTTGTTAGTGGTTTTGCTAATGATGGCTTTTCTAACAGGGGTGAGGTGGAATTTTAGTGTGGTTTTAATTTGCATTTCCTTTATTGCTAGAGATGGTGAGCATTTTTTCATGTGTTTTTGGCCATTTGAATTTCTTCTTTTGAGAAAGTTCTATTTAGTTCACTTGCCCATTTCTTTATTGGTTCATTAGTTTTGGGAGAATTTAGTTTTTTAAGTTCCCTATATATTCTGGTTATCAGTCCTTTGATGTGTAGCTGGCAAATATTTTCTCCCACTCTGTGGGTGTTCTCTTCAGTTTAGAGACCATTTCTTTTGATGAACAGAAGCTTTTTAGTTTTATGAGGTCCCATTTATCTATGCTATCTCTTAGTTGCTGTGCTGCTGGGGTTTCAGTTGAGAAAGTTCTCACCTATACCTACTAACTCCAGAGTATTTCCTACTCTTTCCTGTATCAACTTTAGAGTTTGTGGTCTGATATTAAGATCCTTGATCCATTTTGAGTTAATGTTGGTATAGGGTGATATACATGGATCTAGTTTCAGTTTTTTGCAGACTGCTAACCAGTTTTCCCAGCAGTTTTTGTTGAAGAGGCTGCTATTTCTCCATCGTATATTTTTAGCTCCTTTGTCAAAGACAAGTTGGTTATAGTTGTGTGGCTTCATATCTGGGTCCTCTATTCTGTTCCACTGGTCTTCATGTCTGTTTTTGTGCCAGTACCATGCTGTTTTTATTGTTATTGCTTTGTAAAGGGCGGCATTTTTGTGAAAAGTTCATTACATGCCATAGATAGGCTTGCCTTTATCAGTTATATAGATTAAGTGAACCCAAATTAGGAAATCCTTATCAGATAGCATAAATAAAAATCTCAAGTCTTTAACACCCAAAGTTTAATTTAAAGCAAAACAAAACAAACAAACCAAGAAGAAGTAGAAAGAATGGCTGTAACCAGGTCATGGGTTTCCTTCTACTGGGAATACTTTCAAGACTGTCTTTGCCATTTTTCAGACCTGATAGTCTGCGAATATTTCACATTAGAGCTTCCCTTGGCAGCAAATAAACAACTAGAATGAGGCCCACTTGCTGTGCCAGAGTATAAAGGTTACTTTGTGGTGCTAAGTGACAAGCTGATGTGAATACACCTTGAAGGTTTAGAGTTTCTGACCATGTGCTGTGGCGGTGCACTGCCAAGATCCAGCAGTAGATGGACAAATTAGAAAGAGCTCAGCCAGGTGTAGATGGAAGGGATGGCAGAGGTGTTCAAGGTGGAATGCCTGGGGATTTGTGGTATGGGATAGAGAATAAGTCCAGCTTTGCACGTGTGTGTGTGTCTGTGTACAAATTATATCTTGTTGTCTTAGACAAAAGGTTGTTTCTGATAATATTTATATAAATTAGCTTTTACCATATACATTCAGTTGAGGCTAATTTTAGTTGTAAGGAAGAACAACTTACAAATTCATGACGTGTTATTTATATTTCAAACATCAAAGCTTGTTTTTCCTCAAGATATTTTGGCATGAAAGTTCGTGGTTACCAACATAAAAATATTTGGATTTCAACATTTATTTGAATTTCATGATTTCTATAATACTTTGAAGCACTGTGCCATGTAAATTAGAAACAAACTTTTTATTTATTTATTTTTTTATTATTCATATGTGCATACAGTGCTTGGGTCATTTCTCCCCCCCTGCCCCCACCCCCTCCCTTACCACCTACCCCGCCCCCTAAATACCCGGCAGAAACTATTTTGCCCTTATCTCTAATTTTGTTGTAGAGAGAGTATAAGCAATAATAGGAAGGAACAAGGGTTTTTGCTAGTTGAGATAAGGATAGCTATACAGGGAGTTGACTCACATTAGTTTCCTGTGCATGTGTGTTACCTTCTATGTTAATTCTTTTTGATCTAACCTTTTCTCTAGTTCCTGGTCCCTTTCTCCTATTGGCCTCAGTTGCTTTTAAGGTATCTGCTTTAGTTTCTCTGCGTCTAGGGCAACAAATGCTAACTAATTTTTTAGGTGTCTTACCTATCCTCATATCTCCCTTGTGTGTTCTCACTTTTATCTTGTGATCAAAGTTCAATCACCTTGTTGTGTTTGCCCTTGATCTAATGTCCGCATATGAGGGAGAACGTATGATTTTTGGTGTTTTGGGCCAGGCTAACCTCACTCAGAATGATGTTCTCCAATTCCATCCATTTACCAGCGAATGATAACATTTCATTCTTCTTCACGGCTGCATAAAATTCCATTGTGTATAAATACCACATTTTCTTAATCCGTTCATCAGTAGTGGGGTATCTTGGCTATTTCCATAACTTGGCTATTGTGAATAGTGCTGCAGTAAACATGGGTGTGCAGGTGCCTCTGGAGTAACCTGTGTCACAGTCTTTTGGGTATATCCCCAAGAGTGGTATTGCTGGATCAAATGGTAGATCAATAGAAACAAACTCTTTTAAAAAAAAAAAATTTTAAAACATGTATTTGATTTTTGATTTATAATGCATTAATAATATGAAGGAATTTCATTGTCACACATGCCTACAGTGTATCTTTTTTTATGCATAGAGATATTCCTCAAGGTTTATTTATAGGAATGCAAATTATAAATAATTTAAATAAACAACCGTGAGGAGCTGTTAATAGTATATCCACTTGAGGGATTATAAAAAGTGAATTTATGTTTTTTTTCATTTTTATTAGCCTGTATTCATTGTACAGGGGATTCATTGTGCCAGTTCCCAATAGCTTTGCATTATACATTGGTTAGATCGCCCCGTGTATAGTGTATCTTGAATAAGTGCGCCCCTGCATTCCCCCTCTCTCTCTTTTCCCTTTTCATACAGGAACAGGGTCTTTCCTAGACCATGGATATTTAAAGTACAAACAGCCCCCTAAATTAGTAATTTGTTAATTTCTCTCTCTGCCAGACATTTGGCTGTAACACCTGCAGTCCTCAGCATTGGGTGTGCTTTCATCTCCAGCCTGCCCCAGTTGCAGTGGCCACCACAGTTCTAGCTTGGCCTGGGTTGCGCCACGGTAAAGCTGCTCAGGTCACCAGTCACAGTTAGCCATGATGAATGGATGTTTATTTCATTCTTACAGGAGGAGAGTAAACGGTGGACTGTGCGTTTGGATATCTCTGCCCCTCAGGTGATATTTCCTGATGACTTCAAGTTTAAGAATCCTGTGTTAGTTGTTGTGGATCTAGGGAGAATGCTGCTAACCAATACCCAAGGTACAGTGTCAGGGTGAAGTAACTAAGCTGTCTCTAGAGACACAGCTGTCTGTGCTTAACTAAGTCAAGCTTAACAAAAGGTTTATGTGACATTTTTAACCTCTAAAGTTCACCTGTTACTTTTTAACATCAAAATTTATAATTCACACCAAAATTTATGATTCAGCTGGGTGTGGTGGTTCACACCTATATTCCCTATACTTGGGAGACTGAGGCAGGAAGATCATGCGTTCAGGGTCAACCTGGGCTACAAAGTGATATCCCATCTCCTCCCAAAAAAGTATGTCAGTTATTTTTGGCATATTGGTAGAATTACATAACTTACTACTGTTTAATTCCAGAATATTTTCACTGCCCCCTTTCCCCCTGCAAAGAAACTCCAGACTTATAGGCAATCACTCTATCCCCCTACTTTCTGGCAGCCACTAAATTTCTTTTCCTGCTCTTATGGATTTGTCTATTTTAAATTTTTTGTATTTTGGAATAATACAACATGAGGCCTTTTATGTCTGACCTCTTTTTTTTTTTATTATTTTTTGCAGTACTGGGGTTTAGAACTTGGAGCCTTGAGTGTTTGCTAGGTGGGTGCTCTGCCGCTTGAGCCATGCTCCCAGGCATTGGTGTTCTTTTTTTTTCAGTGGAACTGGGGTTTGAACTCAGGCTTCATGCTTGCAAAGCAGGCACTCTACCACTTGAGCCATATCTCCAGTCCATTTTGCTCAGGTTATTTATTTATTTATCTGGTGGTACTGGGGTTTGAACTCAGCGTCTCATGTTTGCTAGGCCTGCATTCTACCACTTAAGCCACTTTGCCAGCTCTGCTCTGGTTATTTTGGAGATGGAATCTTGTGAACGATTTGCCAGGGGTGACTTTGAATCGTGATCCTCTGATCTCAGCCTTCTAAGTACCTAGGAGTATAAGCATGAACCACTGGAGCCTAATGTTGGCCCTTTTTTGCTTTAGTTATTTCTTTTGGATCAGTTCTTGCATTTTTGCCTAGTGTTAGCCTCAGACTGTGATCCACCTATGCCTCTCATGGAGCTGGAATCACAGGCATGCGCCACCATGACTGGCTTGTTGGTCAAGATGGGATCTTACTAACTTTTTGCCCAGCTGGCCTCAAACCATGATCCTTCCGATCTCTACCTCACAAGTAGCTGGAGTTACAGGGATGCATTACTATGCCTAGTTGTTTGGCTTTTTATTTAGCATAGTATTTTCATTGTTCATCCATGTGTAGTATATATATCAGTATATCACTTATTTTTATGGCTGAACCTTGTATGGATATACCACATTTTGTTTATCCATTCATTAGTTGGTAGATATTTGAATTTGTTTCCATTTTTGGCTATTTTGAATGTGAATGATCATGTATAGGTTTTGTATACATTTTCAGTTCTCTTGGATTTGTACCTAGGAGTGGAGTTGCTGGGTCATGAGGTAGCTGTGTATTTAATATTTGAGGAACTACCAAACTGTTTTCCAAAATGACTATGCCATTTTATTTATTTATGTACTTATTTATTTAGGTGGTACTGGGGTTTGAACTCAGGGACTCATACTTGCTAGGCAGGTGCTCTACCACTTAAGCCACTTCACCAGCTCTTTTTTAAAAATCTTTTTTGTAAATTATGTCAGCCCATTTTTGTGTTGGGTATTTTCAAAATAGGGTCTTGCAAACTATTTGCCTAGGCTGGTGCAGAACCATGATCCTCCTGATTTGTGCTTCCTGAGTAGCTAGGGTTATAGGCGTGAGCCACTGGTGCCCAGCTGGCTATGACATTTTATATTCCCACCAGCAGCATGTGGTGGGATGTCTTGTCAGCACTCATTAGCATCTGTCTTTTTGATTATAGCCATTTTTGTGGGTAGTCTGTGTAACATTGTGTAAATTAATAAACACTCTTTCCCAGTATTTAATTTCAAGGATAGAGATTTAACCTATTTTGATTAGTGGCATATATAAAAGGAGACACCTGGAAGATAATTTCATTACTAATACTAGATTCCAATAGTATTTATTGAGGTGGGGTGGAAGAGTGAGAGGATTCATGGGGTAAAAGAAATTGAGGCAGTTTATCAGCTAATCTCAATATTGCCTTCATCGAGAAGACTTGAGAGAGAGGAAGGTAGAGGACTTGAGCAGGAGTGGCAGGTTCCATGCTATAGAGGATGTTAGAAGGGAGTGAGATCTGAATACAGGGTCACAGCACTGCAGAAAGCACCTTCTTAGATGGATAAAAAACTGTGGAACTGGTAAGCATTTCCGCTTGTCTCAGTACCACGTGGCTACAGAGAAGATTGAGAATATAGACTATAGGGTAGAAAATCTCATATTAGCAGAGCACTGGTGGTTCACGCCTATAATCCTAGCTACTCAGGAGGCAGAGATCACGAAGATTGCGGTTCTAAGCTAGCCCCCGCAAAAAAGTTTATGAGACCCTATCTTGAAAATACCCAACACAAAAAAGGGCTGTGGAGTTGCTCAATTGGTAAGAGCGCCTGTATAACAAGTGTGAGGCCCTGAGTTCAAATCCCACCATTGCCAAAAAGTAGAAAATCTCATATGGAGCTGTTTCTGCCCACTAAGCCCAGATCTGGCTCTTCGAGGTACTCCATGGAACAAGACAGATGAGACCTCTCTTCTTTCAGAACATTGAGACAAAGGAAAAAGTACATCAATAAACTGTAGAGACATGAGTGGGGTTGGTACAGCTCAGAAGCTGGACAAAATATTGGGAGCAGCTGGTGGCCTCTGCACCCCTGTCCTTGGGGACGGGGTGGGGGTTGGGCAGCAGAGATCTAACTTCTCACAATCATATATTTTTATTCTTTGTGTTTGGTTGATAATTCAGGGTGAATTAAATTTCAGAATACCTTGCTTGCAGTTTTCACCCATTTAAAAAAATTGAAGCTGGTGGAAGCTCTCCTTTTCACCATTATTACAGTAAGAGAAGGGGAAGAAGATATAGCAGATACAGACTGTGAGCCTTCTCTGTTTTACTTGCAGTTGACTCCAAGAGCAAGAGTGGGGACAAGTCAGCCTCTGAGGAGAGTCAGTTCAGTGATGACGAATATAAGACCCCTCTCGCCACACCTCCCAGTACCCCACCTCCAGAGACACACCATGGAGAGAAGACACCCCCTTTTTCTGGAGTTGAATTTAGCGAAGAGCAGCTTCAGGCACATTTAATGAGTACAAATATGTACGAGAGGTACTCTCTGTCGTTCATGGACCTCCAGATTATGGTTGGACGAGTGAAGGACAATTGGAAGCATGTCCAGGATATCAATGTTGGACCCACCCACGTGGTGGAGAAGTTCAACGTTCACCTGCAGCTAGAACGCCGGCTCATTTACACTTCAGATCCCAAATACCCAGGGGCCGTGCTCTCAGGCAACCTGCCCGATCTAAAGGTCCACATCAATGAAGATAAGATATCTGCTCTAAAGAACTGCTTTGCTCTCCTCGCCACTCCAGAGATGAAGACTTCTGACACTCAGATTAAAGAGAAGATTTTCCCTCAGGAAGTACAGCGGGGAAGCTTGCAGGACTCTGTAATGAACCTAACCCAGAGCATCGTGATCCTGGAGCAGCACACCCGTGAGGTTCTGGTGGAGTCGCAGCTCCTCCTGGCCGAATTCAAAGTTAACTGTATGCAGCTTGGTGTTGAGAGCAGTGGCCGCTACATTTCTGTGCTCAAGGTATTTGGCACCAATGCCCATTTTGTGAAGAGACCTTACGATGCTGAAGTCTCTCTGACTGTTCACGGCTTGCTCCTTGTAGATACCATGCAGACCTATGGTGCTGATTTTGACCTTTTGATGGCTTCTCATAAGAACTTAAGTTTTGATATTCCAACAGGAAGCCTCCTAGATAGCAGAGCGCAGTCTCCTGTCTGTGGACCTAATGTGGCTCGCTTAACTGACATCGCCATCCTGAATGACCAGTCAGCAGCTAGTGTTCCACTTGAAAGAATTCTCACCAAAGAACAAGAGTCCCTCATTAAACTGGAATATCAGTTTGTGAGTTCAGAGTGCCCGTCCATGAACTTAGATAGCACTCTTCAGGTGATCTCATTACAGGTGAATAATTTGGATATTATCTTAAATCCAGAGACAATTGTGGAGCTGATTGGTTTTCTGCAAAAATCGTTCCCCAAGGAAAAAGATGATTTGAGTCCTCAGCCTTTAATCACTGATTTTGAAAGAAGCTTTAGAGAACAAGGAACTTACCAGTCTACCTATGAACAAAACACTGAGGTTGCAGTGGAGATCCATAGGCTTAACTTGCTGCTCCTCCGGACAGTTGGAATGGCAAATGGGGAGAAATACGGCAGGAAAATCGCAACTGCAAGCATTGGTGGCACCAAGGTTAACGTCTCGATGGGCAGCACCTTTGACATGAATGGTTCGCTTGGCTGTTTGCAGCTTACGGATCTGACACAAGATAACATGAAGAACCAGTATGTGGTCAGCATTGGAAATTCTGTAGGCTACGAAAATATTGTCAGTGATATTGGCTACTTTGAGTCTGTATTTGTCAGAATGGAAGACGCAGCCCTGACTGAAGCTTTGAGTTTTACATTCGTTGAGAAATCTAAACAGGAGTGTTTTCTTAATCTGAAGATGGCCTCATTGCATTATAACCACTCTGCGAAGTTCTTGAAGGAGTTGACGTTATCCATGGATGAACTAGAAGAAAATTTTCGAAGTATGCTGAAGAGTGCGGCCACCAAAGTCACCACAGTATTGGCTACCAAGACAGCTGAGTACAGTGAGATGGTGTCGCTCTTTGAAACTCCAAGGAAGTCCCGGGAGCCCTTTGTCTTGGAGGAAAATGAGGTCTATGGGTTTGGCCTAGCTTCGCCTCGTGCGGATACCGTGAAACTCATTTTGAACATAAACATCCAATCTCCAGTCGCTTCCATCCCCCGAAAGCCTGGGAGTCCTGAGCTGCTGGTGGGACACTTAGGACAGATATTCATCCAGAATTTTGTGGCAGGAGATGATGAATCCAGGGGTGATCGTTTGCAGGTGGAAATCAAAGACATTAAATTATATTCTTTGAATTGCACCCAATTAGCAGGCAGAGAAGGTTCTGGGTCTGAAGTCGGTCGGACGTTTTGCCTGCCCTCCGGGTCCACTAGTGCTACCAGTCAGGAGGAAGCTCATTTCACCAGACATGATTTCTTTGAATCTTTGCATAGAGGTCAAGGTGAGCATCAGTCTTTGTTTCATTTTGTTGAATGGTTCAACACCCAACTTAAGTAGTTCTTCACTGAAAACAACAACAAAAGTCTTTCCTTTAGAATTACTTCAGTTAATATTTTAAGAAATCATAATTGAATTTCAGTTGAAATTCACCTTTTTCATTTAATACCATGTTTGGGAAAATAATTTTTTAAGTGTTCTCCTTTGAAATTGGTGACTGGATGCCAGCACTAACAGACTGAACTATTTGGTTTTAGTTGATCAGATCCAGAATGCAAACAAGAATTTCGTTCCTAGAACCCTGGAGCAACCCAATACTGAAAACGGTAGAATATTAAAAGGAGAACATAAATCCACCAACTAAATTTCATACTCTATTCTTTAATCTCTCATGCTATCTTGGGCTACAAAGTTAACTAGTAAAGATTTATAGTTTAGAACAAGACAATCAGATATACTGGACCAGATTAAGCAACTCTAACAATTCATCCACTGAAGTCTCTGTAAATGAGCAGAAGGCATAGGTGGGAGGATCACAGTCTGAGGCCATCCCAGGCAAAAAGTGCATGAGACCCTACATGTGGAGAAATTAATGTCTTGGAACCAGACACCAGGGGTCACGACTATAATCCTAGCTACTTGGGAGGCAGAGATCAGGAGGATAGTGGTTCTAAGCCAGCCAGGGCAAATAGTTTATGACACCTTATCTCAAAAAAACCCTTTACTCTCTCTCTCTCTTTCACACACACACACACACACACACACACACACACAAAAACACACAAAAAGGCTGGTGGAGTGGCACAGGTGGTAGAGCTCCTGCCTAGCAAGTGTGAGGCTCTGAGTTCAAGCCCCAGTACTGCCAAAAAAAGAAATTAGTGTCTTGGAAAACTTCTGTGGTTTTCAGATGTTAATTCAGTGATCCATTTGTTTGGAGTAAAAGTAAGAATCTTGTATTTAGGCCTAATGAAAGGAATTAATCTGTACCTGAAATGTTGAGCAATTTGGTTTAGTTTAAACCAGTTTGGGAGGCTAAAAGAAACTTAACATAGTCTCTGGACTGAATTACTGTTTATCACATCATATATGTGTGCGCGTATCTGTGTGTGTAATATTTATTATTGTTATTATTACTTGTTTATTTCTTGATGGTGCTGCTGTTTGAACTTAGGGCTTCATGCTTGATAGGCAGGTGCTCTGCCACTTGAGCCATGCCCACAGCCCTTTTTTGCTTTACTTAATTTTCGGATAGGGTCTCATGTACTTTTTGCCTGGGATGGCCTCAGACTGTGATCTTCCTACCTATGCCTCCTGCTTAGCTGGAATTACAGTTGTATACCATCACGTTGCCCAGCTTGTTTGTTGAGATGGGTTCCCACTAACTTTTTGCCTAGTCTGGCTTGAACTGCAGTCCTTTAGATCTCCACCTCCTGAGTAGCTAGAACTATAGGCATGAGCCACCATACCTGGCCTTTACCGTATCACATATATATACACATGTATGTGTATGCATGAGTGTATATGTGTGTATATACACACACACACATATATATACCAAATATATATACATATTATATGAAATGTAAGTATGTATACACACATACATAATACATAATTTATTAAAAATATTTTACTACATCATTTTGAAGCTGTCAAGTAGAGCATGTCATGAAAATATTATTTTTTTTCCCCTTATAAATTTTTCTTATATCTCTGCTTGCTGTGAGTTTTGGTTTCAGGACAGTCTTTGAAGTTTGCACTCATAGACCCCAGGTGACAGGCCACTCTGCCCTTCTTGTTTCAGAGTAACTCATAGGCTGTTCATCATCAATAACAAGGTAAATATTCATGTTTACAGCCTGTCATTCCCTCTCTCTTTCTCAGCTTTTCACATCCTGAATAACACAACCATTCAGTTTAAGCTGGAGAAGATCCCCATAGAGAGAGAATCTGAATTGACTTTCTGTCTCAGTCCAGACGGCCTGGGAACTGCTAGCATCATGAAGATTGAAGGAAAGTTTGTCAATCCAGTTCAGGTAAATGTCTGATTGACTTTCCTGTCAGGGCAGTTGACTGTCAGGTTGAGTGTCGTTATCTGAGACACTTGGGACTAGAAGCGTTTCAGACTTTGGAGTTTTTCAGATTTTGGAATATTTGCAGAGACTTTGTCTGCTGAGCATCCCTAATGTGAAAATCTGAAATCTGAAGCTTTTCGTGTTATGTCAGCTCTCAGAAACTTCCAGGGGGATTTTGGATTTAGATTGGGATGCTCAAGCATGTGTTTATATATTACATAATCATATTTCACTTCAGTTACGATATGTTATATTTTTGTGCATATTAAATGTTGGAAGGAAATAAATAATTTCCAGGAAATATCATTAATGCTTGTTGTTAGTGTTGAAAATTGGTTCTTTTATCACGTCATTTTGTCACTGGGTAGTCTTGTTCCTTTCTTCCTGTGAAGTAGGTGTGAGTTGCATAGGGGAGGAAGGCAGATCTTTAATTCCATGGCCATTCAGAAATAGGTAAATTGTTTTTTAAAGTTTCAGAGTCTCTTTCCCAGGAGGATATGATTCTTGTCATGCTTGGACTTTCTTGGTCCAGCCTATAAAGCAATGTGAACTGCTGACATCCTTTAGAATTAGTCTTCCCTCTCTGGAGGGATAGGCCAGGATAGGGATATCATCTGTGTGCATGTGTGTGTGCATGGTGACCATGTATGTGTCGATCCTTGCTCCTTTAAAAGTGTCATTTTTTCTGATTTCACAGGGACCAGAGCAAAGAGCACTAAAAAAAGGCAGGATCTTAGTACAGTGGACTATTGTCCCGGGCTGTAACTGGTCTGTCCCATGGCTTCTCTGGAGTACCCCAGGAGTGTGGCTAACAGAAAATGTGTACCTGTTGCCATCAGTGCTCCTAGGTAGAGGTCTCTGGGTGAAACAACTTCTTCCTAGCTTTTCTTCTCAGGCCAGGCTTTCAGCTCCTTAGTAGTAGCTACCAGTATGATTTTTTTTTTTTTTCACCCTAAATCAAGCATGTGGTATGAATGCTCTTGGATTACATTGGCTTATTCTTTGGTCACCATTTACTTACCTATTTTTTGTTGGTACTGGGTTGAAACCTAGGGCCTTATGGTTGTTGGGCAGCCACTCTACCACTTGATCCATGCCCCCAGCCCTTTTTTGCTTTAATTATTTTTCAGATAGGGTCTTGTGTTTTTGTCCAGGACTGCCTCAGACCTTGATCCTCCTATCTATGCTTCCTGTGTAGCAGGGATCACAGGCATGTGCCACTATGTCTGCTGGCTTGTTTTTTGAGATGGAAATCTCATTGACTTTTTTTCTCTGGCTAGTCTCAAGCCCTCCTATTATTCTCTTCCTGAGTAGTTGGAATTAGGCATGAGCTGCTGGTTCATACCTGGCTGAAAATATTTTTTAAAATAAGAAATTATAATAAAAAGGAAAATAAGAGACTGGGGATATAACTCAGTGGTAGAGCATTTGCCTATCATGCATAAGGCCCTGGGTTCAGTTTAATTCCCAGCACTGCAAAAAGAGGGAGAGAGAGAGAGATCAAGAAACCCAAATAACTGCAGATAATCATTATTACTGAAAAAGTACTAAATAGCCTGTCTTAGAAGCATGCGTTTTTTTTTTTTTTTTTTGATGGGACTGGAGATTGAATTCAGGGCTTCATGCTTGCAGAGCAGGTGCTTTACTGCTTGAGTCACACCTCCATTCCATTTTTTGCTCTGGTTATCTTGAGAACTATTTGCCCAGTTGGCCTTGAACAGAGATCCTTCCAATCTCATCCATCCAAGTAGCTGGGATTATAGGCATGAACCACGATAGCCCAGCTAGAAGCATGAGTATTGCTCCTCAGTCTTGTGGTACACCACATTATACCTTGGACAATACTCACTTAGATTTCTGCAGTTGCTTCTTGTGGATACCGTGATTTTATTGACTCCAGCATATAGTCAACATTTATTGAACATTTATTGGACCTACAGAGGACCTTATGAACAGAAGGGAGGCATAAAAAGGTAAAGCCAAAATGAAAGAGACAATCTTGCTATCGACTAACTTAAAACCTCATGGGAAACCCAGAAATACAAATTGGAAATTTAGAGGTAGTGCAGTTAGTAATATGGGAGTAACTGAATTGTTCCCTTTGAATATGCAGGTGGTGTTAGCCAAGCATGTGTATGAACAGGTTTTACAGACGCTGGACAACCTCGTGTACAGTGAAGATCTGACTAAGTTTCCAGCCAGTGCTTCCTCCTCCCCTTGCCCTCATTCTCCTCTGCCTGCCCTCAGTTCCTGTGGAGAACCTTCTGCAGAGAGGAAGGAGAATGGATTGTTCAGTCACTCAAGCCTCTCTAGCACCTCTCAGAAGTCCTTGTCCATGAAGGAAGCCAAAGCCTTTACTCAGATTCAAGCCAACTTTTGCATATCAGAACTTCAAGTTCAGTTGAGTGGAGATCTGACCTTGGGAGCCCAAGGTCTGGTGAGCTTAAAGTTTCAGGATTTTGAGGTGGAATTCAGTAAAGACCATCCTCAGACATTATCCATTCAGATTGCCCTGCGCTCTCTCCTGATGGAAGACCTGTTGGAGAAAAATCCAGATTCCAAATATAAGAACCTCATGGTGTCTCGAGGTGCTCCCAAGCCATCAAGCTTAGCACAGAAAGAGTATCTTTCTCAGTCTTGCCCTTCAGTATCTAATGTGGAGTATCCTGACATGCCTCGGTCTCTCCCTTCCCACATGGAGGAAGCTCCTAATGTCTTTCAGTTGTATCAGAGACCCACCTCTGCATCCCGGAAAAAGCAAAAGGAAGTCCAAGACAAGGACTGCCCCTTGACCCCACCTCCTTCTCCAACAGTAGAGGAACCCAAGGTGCTTGCTGGAAAGGGTAAATTTGATGATTCGCTGGTACACATTAACGTATTCTTGGTGGATAAGAAGCATCCAGAATTCTTTTCGCGTTACAGTCGGGTGAGCCGGAGTATCGACGTTGACTTTAATTGCTTGGATGTGCTGATCACGCTGCAAACCTGGGTTGTGATACTGGATTTTTTTGGAATCGGCTCCACTGCAGACAACCATGCGATGAAGGTGCCACCTGAGGATATTCTACAAAATGTGAAGTCAGAATCTAGTGCTTTAGTAGGGTCTGAGCTTCAGGAGCCCATTAACACCAAACTGGACCTCAAGGTATCAGCTCCCTCTGGTTCCTTTAGCTTCTCAAAATGAATTTGTGTGTTTATTTAACTGCGAGCATTTTATGTTTATTCTGCATGACAGCTTTTCTTGGAAGGGTAGTTGTTATATAGGGTAGACATTAATGTCTTAGGAAGGTTTTGATGTAGATCCCACCTCGAGGCAGGAAAATATGTGGCCTAAATAGACAACGTCTTCCTTTGGGCTGTGTAATTGAATGCTTTGCTTCTCTAGCCTCAGTTTCCTGTTTCCCTAATGTAAGATGGTAGAGTGAGGTAGGTATGCCATGCACCTAGCAAAGTGTCCACCTTCCAAGTGTGACTTTTCTTACTGCCTCGCTGTTCTCTCCAAGCACTATGTATACATTCACGGAGGGCAGCCAGTGCTTCCTCCTCCCCTTGCAGTGTAGCAGGGGCTACACTGCCTGACACTTTCACTGTAGTCATATAGCTGCGTAGCCTTAGGTAAATCATTTACACCCCCACCCCCACCCAGTAACGTTTTCTTCAGTGAAACTGAAGAGCACTGATGAGGCCCTTTGCACAGTGCAGGGGCACAGTAAGCATTTAATTAATGGTTACTGTTATAGGAATTACCATGCTTGTAACTTGTCCTTGATACTCATATTGTGAATGTGTTTTAAAAACCATAAAATAGACACCATATGGATTTAAGGCCACTTGCTGTGCATGAAGACATGAAGGTAGTTATGAATTGAGTCGACCATTTGAGGGTACCCAGGTCTATTGTAACTCGCATCTGTCCAGATCCAGAGGCCTGGCACCCTGCAGCAGCTGACCATATTTTTGTGCCTTAAGGATGAAGGTCTTCATTACATGTCTCTGTGTGTGTACTGCACTCGGCACTACTAGAGAGAGGTCAGGGAGGGGAGTCATGCTTTACCCAGTGCTATTGTCTTGCTTCCCTAGCCAGCAGTGGGCTTCCTTCCTGTGGAAGGGAGGAGCTCTGGGGGAAGAGATGGGAAAGACCAGCCTTGCCTCCTGCTGAGTGACTAGTGGGAGCCTGACTTTGCAGTGTTCAGGCCTCAGAAACTGGGCCTAGCAGATGAGTGGGAGTGGCAGAGCCTTTAGTTGTTCTTTGCTTGGACTCCCTTTGACTGTGACTTTGTTCTTGTGGGGCCATGAAACCTTCCCGGTGGTGGTTAGTGTGCGGTGTTCCCAGGATGCGAGGCTCGGATTGCTGTGGCTGCCTCTGCAAGAGAATGGGGCTGGATAAACATGTCTCCACAGTGTACTCTTGAAATAAGAATTCCTGAAAAACAGTTTTACTATGAAAAATTTCAAACATCACAGAGAAAATACTAGAATGACCCCCGTACACCCAGCTTTCTACTTGAGCGTGTCTGCTTTGTTCCCTTTTCCTTTGCTGAAGTATTTTAAAGCAAATTCCAGGTGTCATGTCATTTTAGTTCTCGTCATTCTTCAGTTTTCATTTCCAGAGGAAAAAAGACATTGTCTTTCACAGTACACTGCCATGTCTCAGTACATTGACAAAGTATCTTGGTATTACGGAACACCTACCAGTCCACACTCAGATTTCCCGATTGTTCCAGAAATGCCCTTTTCTGCTGGATTATAGAGGAGTGAATGGTTTGAGAAACTTCATGCCTTTCCTTTGGTCTCTATAATTCAGTGCAATACTGTGCGATTCTCGGGGCCTCACTCTTGCTTGTCAGGCGCTTCACCACTTGAGCCACTCCGCTGGCTAATACTATGCATTTTTGTGGTCTCATCTACACCATGAAAATTCAATAAAATGATACATGAATTTTTGAATCAGAATCTGACTAAAGTTCACAATACATTTGTTGTCATGCTATGCTTAAATTTCTTTTACTTAATGTGAACCAGCTCCATCACCCAGTGCATTTGATCTGCTAGAGAACCTGGGTTAGTGCCTTGCCTGTTTCCTGTTTCCCATTTGACTTCTTTTCTTCTGTTTCTGGAAATGGAAGTTAGCACTAGAGAATCAGATTCAGGCGCAGCTTCTTGGTGAGGATGCGTCATAGGCAGTGCTGAGGCAGGAGGCAGAGGACAGCAGGTCCCCTCTTAGTGATGTTAACTTTTATGCTACAAATGGGTTTATATGGTGAAGGCTGAATTATTGCATACAATGCATTTTTAGACCCAGGTTATATGTTCTTTGGTGACTAAATGACTAAAGATTTTCTTATTTTCCATCTTGAGGTGATCTTGATGCCTTGAGATTCTTACGTGGTCTCTGTAAAAAATCCTACCATAAGGAACTGGAGCACTCCCAGTGTCCACAGATGTGATCATTGCTCTGACTGTAATAGTCTGCTCCATTTCTCTTTACTTCCCTCTAAATAGTTTTCCTTTTTCCTTTCCTCTACTATTTTCCTTTTTCTCTTCCTGTCTTTTTTCTCTTCCAGACATTTACTGAACATCTCCTTTGTGGTAGGCAATGAAGATAAAGGGGTGGGCAAGGAGTGGGCTCTGCAGTGAGGTGAAGTTGAAGATTGCATCTGCTCTGTCTTCTGCTCCTTCCTTCTCTTCAATCAGTGCCTTGTCCCCAGGACGAAAGAGCCTGAGTCAACAAATCCCAGACGCATACATTCTTTCCACAGTTACAATTACAATATTATAGTTTACTTGTTAGGAAGAATGTTATTCCTGAGACAAGAGGACTTTGTCTTCTGTTTATGGCTGTCCCTAGGAGAGAAGAGTCTTTGCTTGTGGCTCCTAAATGGGGTCCCTGTTGATCAACAGAGGCTTAGGTTAAAAATTTATTCAAAGACGATTGACAGGATTCTAAATTATTTTGCTTTGATAAGTCTCACAGATGAGAGTTCACTTCACAAGTATGCCTGAGTTGTTATAGAATTGTGCTGTGTTAGCAGTGAGTACTAAAACGGGAAAAGTTGTTTTATAATGTGCAACATTTCACAAACAAAAGAAGTGAGGCAAACGTAGAGAAGGAGCCTGGCCCCCCAGTTGCCCAGCCGAGACCTTTCTCGTCAGCTTTCTCATTGGATACTGGTTGGACTGAGCTGACAAAGCAGAAGTGAAACTGGCATCATGAAGTTTTACCTTCCTCTTCCTGCACCTCCTTTGATCTTGTTCTGCTGCTCCCCTGGCAGTAACTTTCATCTCGCTTTATTTTCTGTGTTCCTAGGTCCATTCCCTCTCTCTTGTACTGAATAAGACCACCAGTGAGCTTGCCAAAGCAAATGTGTCCAAATTAGTAGCACACCTGGAAATGATTGGTAAGTGGGGAAAAAAAATCAGTCTTGGAAAACCTGGTAAGTATTTGAAGATCACAATATGAATCTCACTATCTTCACATGCTGAGTAAGATGTGGGCCAATGGCTTGATTGTGGCTGCTTTGTATTTGCTCTCCAAATACTGGCTTTTGCATCAGAATTGTCTGGATACTTGTTAAAAATGCAGGTGCATGGTACAACCTCTTCCCCTGCCCCTCTCCCACCTCTAGCCCCAGAATCTGATTATGTATATCGGGACAGGGCTCAGGCACCTGTCTGTGTTTTTAGTGAATTCCTGGGTTACCATATGATTTTTCTTGTCCAAACTGGAATATTTTTGAAAGTGAAAGGATGCATTATCAGTGATTAGACCTGGAAAACTGGCATGTGACAGGGCTGTGGGTGGGAAACCAGGGGAAGTGTTCATTCTGTCTCTCGTCGTAAATCAGGGAGCTACTGTGAGATCATGGCTTTATGTAGCAGGACATTGTAGTAAAGCTGGCGGCCTTTCTAGTGGGGTTTTATAGGTGGAATTCCTAATACACAAGTGATGTGATAGTACATCAAGTTCTAAATCATAGGGATTTATTAAGTGTGAATTCAAACACTAGCTCTTCCTTAAAGAACATGCCATTCATAGGGCATTGGTGGCTCAGGCCTCTAATCCTAGCTACTCAGGAGGCAGAGATCATGAGGATTGCGGTTCAAAGCCAGTCCCCTCAAATAGTTCTCGAGACCCTATCTCGAAGATACCCGGCACAAAACAGGGCTGGTGGAGTGGCTCAAGTGGTAGAGCACCTGCCTAGCAAGTGTGAAGCCATGAGTTTAAATCTCAGTACTGCCAAAAGAAAAAAAAAAAGAGCATGTCATTTAGTAGTGAAGATTACAAAGCCCAAATATTGACAATGTGGAAAAGACAAGAAGGTCATTTGGGGAAGGAATAAACTGAACTGAAACTGAGTTCATGCCTGCTTTAAATTATTTTAGAAAGCTTCTTTAGAAGAGATTGGTCTTTAAGATTAGGAGAAGCTTGGGGATTTTTATTAGAGGACATTAGGAATTAAAAAAAAATATTCCTTCAATCCAATGAGAGCTGAATTAGCCTGCCAAATGTACACACCTTAGTGATTGCACTGATGATTATGTAATAATGATGACAGATTTTGTTTGATGGAATCAGCAGCTCAGAATATTCCTTTCCAGGATGCACAGTGTTAAGAACAACGTTCCAGGTGCACACATCCCAGTATCCCTCCTTCTGCCTCCCGTCCTGCCATTAGACTTCTTTCAAATCTTTCTCCGGTGTCTGTACACCTCATTGACTTTGTTCTTTTATTAAGTCACCTAAAATCTAGTTATTGCTTGAATAGCTAACATATTTCTGATACTTCTTCCTTTATATTATTCATAGTACAATTAATAGACCTTATGAGATTTCACTGATTGTTAGTTACTGGTCTAATCTCAGAAAGGATTGTATTTCTATCTGTATTTATAAGTATTTTGTCCTTTAAACTGTGTGTGTGTTTAATTTCTTTACCCTTTAAATGTTAATATGTAATGTTACTATTATTATTTCAACTCCCTTTGGATTTTGGCATTGAGACTTTGAAAATAACGTATAAGATATCTTCCTTCATGTATTAGAATACCAAAATTTGCTTCTGACATTTAGTTTGAATAAAAGTGAAAGCCTGAGACATGTATGTCTCAGTTTTTATCCAGATATAGTAGAGGTGAATGACAAAGGCACTAATAACATGTAATATTAACACTCCTAGAGGGAGACCTGGCCTTACAGGGAAGCATTGGAAGTCTGTCTCTGAGCGACCTCACATCCCATGGAGAGTTCTACAGGGAACGGTTCACTACCAGTGGAGAAGAAGCTCTCATCTTCCAGACCTTTAAGTAAAAATACCCTCTCTCTCTCTTGATAGTTTGTTGTAATGACTTCTGTTTAAAATTCTTATTGGCCAAACAATGAAGAAAGATTTAAGACAGTTTTACCATCTAGGTAAAATTGGAAAGATCTGGTTGTGAGGAGTTCTGATTTGGGTTAAGTTTCATAAGAGAATCTGTGTTGAAGTGAGCTACTCGGGCATCATAAACATATGGGGTATGGTTGAAGTAATTCTGATTTTTAGAAGGCCTGGGAGCTCGTGCAAGGTCTCCACCAACTTTCTCCGTGACCCAAGGCAAGTCATTTCATCTCCTTGTATTAGTTCTGTGTAAATAATGAGGGGCTAGGATCATTGCCAAGCTTTACAAAGCTCTAAGAGTTCTGCAGTGATTTCAGTCTGAGAATGTTGTTGGTTGTGAGTAATAAATTATATGTTTATTTTTACTTACGAACATGATTTATATTGAATCCTTCCTCTTTTAGATTTTAGAAGACATCTTTAGGCCTATCTGCTTATTAAAGAATGATTTTCTTGGTAGACAGTTTCAAATGGTGGTTTTCAACTTTTCTGAGAGGTGCTAGAAAATGCCAATGTCTGGATCTGTTCCTGAATGTTCTGACTTAACTGGTGTAGAGTAGTGTTCAGTCTCCCTCATTGCCTTTTTTTAATGTGCTAATGTTCAACTAGCACTGAGAGAAACTTTCAAAACTGTCTGTGGGCTGAGAATGTAAGCTTGCCTATCATCTGTGAGTCCCTGGGTTTGAGCTCCAGTACTACATAAAAGAAAAAAAAAAGTGATTTTCATTTGCAGGATTATCATCCATCCATCCATTCTTTACCGAGAAATTAGATTTGAGAATTTAGGGGTGTGGCTCAAGGGGTGCAAGCTTGCTGAATTCCATCCCCACTACTGAAAAAAAGAGAGAAAAGAATTTTAGAATTTAGATTAATTTGCTTACATTACATACCACCATGGCATAGTTCTGTATTATAGGGGATAATTAGTACAAAGCTCTTAATTCTCTGCTTGGCACAAATGTGCATTTCTCAGTGAATGTGAATTCCTTTCCCCAGTGACCATGTCCTGTGTAATAACTTCTTATGGCATCATGCTCCATTAAATTCTAAAGAATTGTAAAAGTCTAGTTTATCTTTGAATTTACATTCCAAAATTCTTTGGTCTGTGTTTCACTAAAGCAAAAAGAAGACTTCTTTCTATCTCCAGAAGACAGTTTTTCCCAGAAACACTGGTTCTGATGCTGCATTTTCTCTACCCATTATTTCACGGCCTTCTGTGTTACCATCTTTCAAGCCCATGTTGTCACAATCTGCCAGGAACAATAATAGCAGGAATGCTGCCTTTTCCTTTAGGGCAGGGAAAGGAGGCAGGTGAAATGGCAGAGCCACAGGGCCACATCTGACTGAGTTCTGGAGTCGAGATGTAGAGCTTCCTGTTGTTTATAGCCCTGATGTCACACCAGGCTTATATTTAAAGTCCTCAGCACAAAAGTTTATAGATGGACTAATTTTTGGAAATTTCCACTTAATAGTTAAATCTGTTTTCCAGGGAAGCCCCTAAGTCAACCCATGTTTTCTTCAAATACTAGTTTGTATCTCTCTGCTGTCTGAGTCACATTTCTGTCCTTGTTCCCAGGTATGGGCAGCCTGACCCTCTGCTCCGGAGAGAGCATGACATCTGCGTGAGCCTGCAGATGGCCTCCGTACAGTATGTGCATACTCAGCGCTTTCAGGCAGAGGTGGTGGCCTTCATCCAGCACTTCACTCAGCTGCAAGATGTCTTAGGGCGCCAGCGAGCTGCCATTGAGGGCCAGACGGTAGGTGGTGGCATGTTCCCAAGTTGCCTTTTCAATTTGGCTCATCAATAGAACTTACTTAAGCTACCAGGGATAAATCTGGAAGTTGCACTAAAAATTGTAAAGGTAATTTTGTACATACTGATATGTGCTCCATGTAGCAGGTTACCTACAGAAGCTTACTACACTTGGAGAGCTTTGTTTGTTAATTATTATATAACATGTAAAAATGATAAATGAAATTTATCAATAACACTTTGGGCCCTTTTATGACTTTAGTGGGATACTTCTCTTGAAAAGTGTTAGAGTATTTTTCTAGATGGACTAAAAATTCCTCAACTTTTCACTTCAAGGCATCCTTAATGCCTTGTTTTTTCTTTTTGGTGGTGCTGGGAATGGAACCCAGGGCCTCATAAGACTTGCTAGTAAGCAAGCACTCTACCATTTGAACTATAAGTCCAGCCCTATTTTCTGGTTTTTTTTTTTTTTTGAGATAGGGTCTCAATGTAGCCCAGACTGGCTTTGAACTTTTAATCCTCCTGCCTTAGCCTCCCAAGTGCTGGAATTAGAGGTGAGTCACCCTACCTGGCTTGCATTTCCCTGTTTTTTAAATGTTTAATTTGATCTCCCTTTTTCTTTTTTTTGTTTGGAGTTATTGGGTATTGAACTCAGGGCCTTGTGCTTACAAGGCAAACCCTCTTAACCTGAGTTGTGTCCTCAGCCTCTACTTTTTCATTCTTATGACTAAGGCTTTTACACTTTTTTTTTGTGTGTGTGACAGGGTCTCGCCATGTGGCCTAGGCTAGTTTTGAACTCAAGATCCTGCTATTTCAGCTTCCAGAGTGCTGGGATTAAGATTCCCAGCCCCATGATTGTCCTTATGAGCATAGTTTTTTTCACTTTTGAATTCTTTTTTATAGGATTAACTCCTATAAAGGTATTGCTTGATCAAAGCTATGAATAGTTTTTGAACTTTAAAAATTAACTCTGTGAAACATTGCCTGTTAGACTTATATACATTTAAATAACCATTTTTTTCCGTGTGTAGTTTAAGTGGTAGTAAATCTTGTTGTGATGACTGGTTTAGGTGAGCAATGAGACATTCAGCATTACTGAGTCATTAGGCTTCCTTACTTTCCCTGGGTAACAGCATGTAAAGATAAGTCTTTTATGTGGGACAAGTAGAAGTTCAAAGGAATGTCTTTCTGTTTTGAACATTGCTAAATAAGTGGGCTTTGGAGAAAAGCTGATCTTCTCAAGGACCTTTAATCCTGGCTGTTTGAATGACTTAGATTTACAGAGAGAAAGCTAAAGACCTACTTTCATTCACCAATAAGATTAAAAGGCTATTTTGTTTGAACTATAAATTCCTTTCTCCTATATTGAATTGGTGACAGGTGTGTTTGATTTGTAGCATAATTTCTTGTGTGGTTTTTTTTTTTTTTTTTGGTGCCAGGGATTGAATTCAGGGCCCTGTAGATGCTAAGCACACTCTACTACTGAGCTGTGTGCCGATCCCTAATAGCACGTTCTCACATTTTCTGATGTCTCTGAATAATGATCCAATGGGACTTTTTAATTTTGATATTTGAAATGACAAAAAAATCAATCATGCCAGATTTGATTTGGCTAAGTATGTATTGTATTTTATCCCAGAAATTTGATAGGGCTTTCCTGTGTGTTCTACTTTACATCTTCTACTTAACTAAACTTTACTCACTAAGCAACAGGGACTGCAGATTTTTGGTGGAGTTGAGAAGTGACATTGCAATTTAGGGATCTAGAGTCTGGGTTTTGTGGTGAGTAATTTTTTTAAATTGTTCTTCTGTTGACTCCATTATAGGAGGAATGTGCAGGTAGTAAAAATAAGTATGCTGTCAACTTAGTAGTAATTATTAGTGAAGCTCTGGAGTTGTCAGAGTGCTTTTATACATATTATCTGGTTTGATTCTTACAGCAGTGTTGTTTGTTCATTTCTTCAATTCAGGAATATATGTCATACAGTCTGGGAGGGCAGGAACATAGTGGAAAATAAGAAAGACAAGGTCATTATCCTCATAATATATTTTAGTGGAACAATATTAACAAGAAAAAAAAAGGTAATTAGTTATGATGATACCCAGTGATGTAGTGTGGGCAGGTGTATTACTGCTGCTTTCTAGTAAGGAACCGTCTTAACTCTTAACTTTGGAGTGTGACTCTGCAGTTAGTGTTTTTCCCAATAAGGTAACTAGGACAACATGTTCAAAAAGTAGCAGCCATCCAGTATGCCAGCAATAGTTCATATTTGTATCTGTAAATTAATAGAACTTTAAAAATATCATTGGTTATATAGGAAAATCAGACTAATTTTTGGTGTTGATGTGATTTAACAATAGTTGTTACATATCACTTCTAGGTGTTTTCTTAATCCTTATCAGAGCTTTTTGAAGTAGGGCTTATTATTGTTCCCATTTTATTGACAAGGAAACAGAGGTACAGAGACTGTAATAACTTAATCAAGATCACCAAGTTAATAAGTGGCCAGAGAGGGGATTTAAAGTCAGGTAGTGAGCATTACCGCTTATACTTAGTTTCTATGCTAACCTGCCAAAATGGTTCCAGTGTTTATCTTTGGAGGTGAAAGTATGGTTGATTTCAGTTTTCTTCTTTTTGTCTTTCTCTTCTAAGATTTTTACAGTGAATTTAAATTAATTTGTAATTCTAAAACTTACTTGAAAACAAAAGATATAGTCATGGGTTGATAATGACAAGTCCCATGTGGTCAGGAAGTAAAAAACAGTATTGTTTTGTAAATTTTTCTGATTTACATACTTACTTATTTTAAAAAGTAATACAAATGTACATAAAATTTTGTAAGTTAAAAAGTGATATTTTTATAGGAGATAGGAAAATAAGAATGAGATAAAAAGTGGAAATTCAGAAGTATGTGTCTTGTTCTTCATTTTGTAATGCAATATGAGTAACAATTTCCAAGTCATTAATATTTTCAGTGATTGTATAATGCTCACATTTGTACATTATATGTTTTGCCAGCATTATTGTGGTATAATTTACATACAATAAACTTAACCAATTTCGAGGGTACAGTTTAATGAGTTTTGACAATTTTATGTAGTTTTGTAATCACAAGCATAGTCAAGGTTCAGAGCATTTCTGTCATCCCCAAATTCTCTCACACCCCTGTGTAGTAGTCACCTTGGCTAACCTTGCACCCTGGCAGCCATTGGATTGCTTTCTCTCTCCCACAACCCCCCCAGTGCTGGGGCTTGAACTCAGGGCCTTGTGCTTGCTAGCAGGTGCTCTACCACTTGAGCCACTCTGAGAGCTCTTTCTGCATAGGTTATTTTCGAGATAAGGTCTTGCTTTGTGCCCAGCTGGCCTGACCATGATCCTCCTATTTGTGCTTCTCTGAGTATCTGAGATGACAGGTGCCTGCCATTGCAACAGCTGTTGGATGAGATGGGGGTCTCGCAATTTTTTGCCGTGGGCTTGCCTCAAACAGTGATCCTCCTCATTTCTACCTCCCAAGTTGCTAGGATTAGAGGTGTGAACTACTGTGCCCAGCCTGGCTTGTTTTTTGAGATATGGTCTTGCTAATTTCTTTGCCCAAGCTGGCCTAGAAATCTCTTCCTCCTATGTTGGGATTACAGGTATTACACAGCTTGATATTGGCAATTCTTGTTTCTTTCCTTTTTTTATTTGTTAATATAGCTAGGAGTTTAATCAGTTTTATCTATCTTTGCACATAACCAGCTTATTGGTTATCAAATAAGCTTCAGTGATGCATTTGCAAACTCTGTTCTTTTCCAGATAAGCATTTTCTGCTGTGCATTGTTTTTACATGTGTCCCGCAGATTTTAATATATTTACCATGTCTTAGAAAACACTTTCCTATTTCTCTTGTGTGATTTCTTCTTTGACCAGTAGGTTATTTAGAAGTATACAGTATTGGGGGATTTCTTGTTTTCATCTAGTTACTCTATAGGTGGTTGTAGACTAAGCTCTGTATAGTTTTGACTTATAGAAATTTCTGAAACTTTTTGGGAACCTGTGGTAATTTGATGATCAAATTGGGGAATTAATTGAGTCTCTAAGTGATTTTCCTTCCTCTTTTAGGTTAGAGACCAGGCTCAGCGCTGCTCTCGGGTTCTCCTAGATATTGAGGCTGGTGCTCCTGTTCTGCTCATCCCAGAAAGTTCCAGGTCAAATCATCTTATTGTGGCAAATTTGGGGAAGTTGAAAGTAAAGAACAAGTTTCTCTTTGCTGGTTTTCCTGGGACCTTTTCCTTACAAGATAAGGTGAGCAATCAATATCCATTCCCTTTCAGCTTAACTGGTATTTCAACACTAATTCATATGCTGACGTAAGAGGATTCACGACTGCTGTTAGTTTTGTAGGCTTGAGAATTTTCCTTTTGACATTTTATTGACATTCAGTTAACCTTTGAAATTATAGTATCCTCAGTTGTAACCCTTACTAGCTGTAGGTAATAACTTATTTTAGCAAACAAATCAATGGAACAGACCTTACATCTTTCTAAAGTATTTTCTGTGAATGAACCCATTTCTTCTGTACTGTTAGCTCTTTATACTATGTGGCTGTTTTCAGAGGACATGATTTGGCCCTAGGTTTACCTGAAGGCATTTAACAGTAGTGATAAAATCTCATAGAGTATCTTGCTTTGCAGTTTTCTTTTTTTATGTATTTTATTTTATCGTTTTTACAATTGCTTTGCAGTTTTCAATTACCTTGGTACTTATTTCTTATTTTGTTTGGAGATAATCAGGATGAGGATTGCTATCATTTTCATTTCGCATTGAGGGAAACTAGGATTCTTTGAGGATAAACAATAAAAATGGAAACACCTAATAAGTCACAAAGCTGAGAGGACTCTGGAGATAGTCTACGTGTACCCCTCACTCATTTCTGCATTTGAGGTTGAGTGATATTTTGGAACCAGAGATGTCATTGTTAATGTTTGTTTTTATCATTCCTTGCTGGTTTCCAGAACAGCCTTTCAGTCTGTCTGCCTATTCAGTACAAACGCATTTTAGTTTGCCAGAAAAGCACTTACTGAAATTCCCAACTAGTTATACCTATTTTTACTCTTACAGCCGTTAACATAGGGGGAGAGATAGACTTTGAGAAAATGTACTTAAGATTTGATTATAAGATCGTAAGACTGACAAAAATAGCAATAAGTAGCTGGTATTTGCTGAGTGCCTATTATACTTCAGTGGGTGCTAAGTTCTTTACCTATGAAAAGAAACCCTGTTTCTTCTACTCAGAACACTTCTGATATACCTGGGTGGAGTTTTCCCCACACCCACCATTCTTCAACTCTTCAGATACCAAGTGGGTGTCCTACAATTGAGTTACGACATTACCCACCCAAGTTAGTACAGAGCCTGTAGGGTTTGGGTCAGTCCCACTTGGGACGTCAGTCACAAGCTCAAATTTACTGTACTTCAGCTGTAAATCCAGGGTCCCCATAGCTCCCTCCTCAGGCTCTGTAAGTTGCCATAATCAGAACTCAGGAGCAGCACACTTGCTGTTCATTACAGAGGACGTAATAACCGGCACAGATGCGCAGCCAGGTGAGGCATGTAGGCCGAGGTCTGGTAGATCCTGAGTATAGGAGCGTCTTGCCCTGCTGCTGTGTAGTTGTGCTCATTCAGCTGACAGCTTTCTGAACCCATTGGTTAGGGTTTTCAATGGGTGGATCTATTATATAGTTTTATTGATTGAATTATTGATCATTGGTGATTGAACTTAATCTCTAGCTCCTCTTCCCTCTGTGGAGGTTCAGGGAGTGTGACTGAAAATTCCAGCCTTTTAATCACATAGCAAGTTCTTTGGAATGTATTTGTGATAAATCTTTGGGGACAGATTAAGTGTTCTAAGAAAAGATCACCTATAGCCAGAGTGGGCAATCATGTTTAGTAGTGCTGTTTTTATTTCTTTACTATTCCTAAAAAGGTAATAGACTGATTTTCTATATTAGACGTATCTATATGTGGGCTTACAAGCCTACTCTGATGTTAGAATTCCTACAAAAGTTGTTAAAATATTTCAAGGTATTTTGCAAAAGGGTTTCTGATTTGTTAAGTCAAACAATAGCACCTACTTTGTAGCATTTTAATTAAAAAAAATTCCCCTGTATTTATTTTTGAGGATTTGATTTTAAGTGGCAGTGCATACCAGAATCCCTTTTTCTTCAAGGTATAATGTGTTTTTTTTTTGCTTCCTGGTTATTTTGAAAAACCTTATGGGATTCAGCAGTCAATTCACATTCATGGACTTAGAAAAGAAAATGAACAAACTAACTGTTTAAAATATTTCATTATTTGGGAAAGCCTGCTTTTATACTTTTTGTTTGTTTGTTTTTGTGAATTACTTCCCCCCCTGTGTAGAAAACTTGTTTTTAAGGTCCATTAGCCCTGGGTAGTACTTTTTTGTGATCTTATTTTATATTCTTACATCCTAGAAAAATGGTCTTGTAACATACCAGTGGTTGTTCTGTAGAATTCCATAAGGGCTGCTTGGAGTGTGCCATTTGTTCAAATATTTGTAATCTGATAAACTTGTCTGTGAAGTTTACCTCTTCACATTGTACAGTCAAACTTAATTGATCCAGGGTCTCTCTTTGGTGAATAATTGCCTTCTTCACCACTTTGCATTTACATCTGCCTTTTAATGTACCTGCACGTGTGAGTGTGTCTAATATGCATTCCAGTGGTTAAAGAACAGCAGGTATTCTAGACATCAGACTTGTGGAAAGATTATTTGCCCTCAAGTTCCAGGACCTCTGTGTGTGTAGAATTGTTTTTGCGTGAGTAAAGGTTTGAATTTTTCGCATATGCTTGCCTTTCATTTACCTCAATCATGGCTTATGCTTAAACCGTAGGTTTTTTTTTTTTTTTTTTTTTGAAACCATAATTTCTAATCAGAGTCTTTCAAAAGCTTCAGGTTAATCTCCTCAAGCCATTGACTTATTTAAACCAGCTGCAGAGAGGATATAGAGAGAAATTAAATGAAAGAGCAACAAACACTCTCCAGAGTTTAAATAAACTGAACAAGAGGGAAGGTTTTAATGTTGAAATACTTAAATGATAGCATTTACCTAGTAATATGCCGTGAAAAAAAAAAAAAGATTGCAGGAAGTAAGAAATGGTTTCTTTTTCTGTTTCTTCTCATTATTGCTCAAGATAACTGAGAGAGAGAGAACAGTATTTTTGTCTCCTTTTCCAAAGCTGAGAGCAGGAACCCTCTCAGGTGGCCCCCATTCTCCCACTGCGCATATGATAGCGATTTCAGAAGTCACGCAGGAATGTAGCTCTGAGGCTTGGGCGAGGAAACCATGGAAGTTCAAAAGCCAATTACTGGCTCATTCTGGTGAAATAGTTTTTTTACCTGTTAGCAATGAACTAAAAACATGAAGTATGTAACAGCAAGTATGATCTTTTCGATATAATTATGGAATCTTATTCTGTATTATTAGCCCTTCTTAACTTTAAACCCTTGAGTACAACTGTAATAGGAATAGTTAACCTCCTTTGTTTCCTGTTTTATTTCATTTCATAATTACCTGGAGAGGTGAGAAATATTAGCCCATTTGGGGAGACTTGTAGAATGTGCAAGCATATTGCTATGGCCTAATTCCACTGGAGTCATATTGCCATTCGATAAATTTTCTTATAACAATAAGTGCCACCCTGCCCCAAAGCAGCAGTATGGCTGAAAAATTAAATGACCTGAAGCAGTTACCATCTTGACATTGGCTCTTGAGCTAAAAGATGGTATCTTCCTGCCATACTGCTATAGTTTTCAACAAGTATTCAGTTATTTGTAACATCTTTGCAGGATCTATGGTCGTAAGCGTCATGACCCTGTCACTCTCTTGTTTACGGGCGCTGAGAGGCTTAGGACAGTGCTAATATTACAGAGTCTTTGAAGATCCTAAAGACTGGGATAGGACTTCTGGGATAGTAAAGATATTGTCACCCTCTCTCCCCATTTCTAGTTTTGTTTTGTTCCTTCCAGGAATCTGTGCCTTCAGCTTCCCCAGCAGGTACACCCAAATACAATATGAGGAAAATGACAAATACAGAGGATGCCACAGGGCCTCAGTCACAGGGGCTGTTCATGACACCTCCAGCTGGAACAGGCCTAGGCAACGTGAAGACTGAGTTTGTGCCCAGTGCCTCCACTAAACAACGAGGGCAGCAAGCCACAACATCTATCAGCCATGGTTCCAGTAATCCAGGTAAAACAGGAGAGGGAGCGGCATGTGAAGGTGGGGAATGCTAGACCTTTCCAGGAAGCTGAGGGGGATGCGCTCCACATCCATAGAGGCCAGCCGTGAGATCCCGTTTCCAGTGAGGATCAGGTTTTGATATTGCTTTAGAAGGCTTAAGTGTCTTATGTTAAATGTAGCATTCAGTGACTTCTAAAGTAGTGTTCAATTAACAAGACATAGGGTAAATACAGAGGTTTTAGATTGTTTGTTGGAACTTTTCCTTATAGGTCAAGACAGCTATTGCCATATGGTAAGAGCATAACTAGATGGAGTCCTGCATCTTATAAGTCACTAGCCATACACTGTCCTTGTATGTCACTATTTAGTTCTAAAAAATAAAAAAGAGCCTTAAAAATATTAGGGTGAATTAGGTAGTAATAGAAATACTGTAAACCAAAAATTTAAAAATAAGAGCCATCTGGTTATTGGTGCTCCATTCCTGTTGTTGTTTTTTTGAGACAGGGTTTTACTAGGCTGTCCTCAAACTCTATCCTCTTTCCTCAGCCTCCTGAGTGCTGGGATTACAGGTATGCACCACCACACCTGGCTGGTGCCCTTTTTAGAATATAAGAATTAGTCATTCCAAGGAAGGGCCTAATTTTGGTTTTTCAGCTTTTCAACATGTTGTAGAAGCAGCATATGTGCCACAAAGATTAGTCCTGTGTGGTTGGACCTTGAGAGATGAAGGACACTAGCTGGGTGGCTCTGTGCCTTTCATTAGATAGATCTGAGGAGTAGTGAACTCCCTGCAGGGTCTTGTAGTGGTTTATAGTTGTGCTGATGGAAGAGGTCATCTCACCCATCATGGAAGCATTGTTGCTGAACGCTTACTGTGTGCTCAACATTAGGCACATTATTTTCACCATTGCATCTCACAACGCCCTGCTCAGGTCTTATTTTCATCTCCATTTTGCAGATGAAGAGACAAAGGCTTAGCAAAAGTAAGTAACTTGACTTGTCAGATGTTACGTAGTAGTAGAGTTGGGTGATGTGTTTGGCAGTATGATTCCAGAATCTGTTGCTGATTTATCTGACATTGCCTCTGAGCTCAGTGGATGCCTCCACTGTGGAGGGTACCATAGACTAATCCATGAGTGTTGTTCCTGTTAATGATGACAGTGACAATTAGTGATACGGCTAGCCTGGCATGTAAGTGAATGCCTGTAAGAGATCTGGGATACTTTATATGGGGAGGATCTCTTCCCTAACATTATTGCTCTTATTGTTTTGCTTCTTTTTTTCCCCTGTAATTCCCTTAATATCTTGATTTAAGGCAGTGTTTTTCACTGTTTCCATGTATTCTTAGATTCTTAGAATCTCTGAAGGATTCCCATTCCTTACCCCCTTCTACCAGATTAGCTCTACTTTGATCTGTTGCACATATTCATCAATATAAACCACCTATCAAGAACTAAAAACAGACAAACAAAAATCCTACGTTTGTTAAGTTCCTACTTAGCGCCAGGTGTTACAACATTTTGTTCCCCAGTATATATTAACATGCTGTTAGCCATGGTTCCTGCCATGACTCTACTTACAGACTAATAAGAAAGACATCTTGTGAACATGTAAATATTGATAGGTTACAATAAATATTATGGGAAAGACAAAAGAACACAGAGGACCTGATTAGGCTGTCTAGGAAGCAGAGAGCTTGGGAGAGTGGTTTAAGATGAGGTGGAAAAGTAGGCTCTGGGCTTATGCAGGACCTTACAGTCACCTGGCAGAGCTTTGCAGAAAGATTTTGGATTAAATATAGCTGTTAAAGTTGGTAAAGCATCCTTCTTAAGGATTACTCAGGCATTTTGTGGAAAGAATGGTTTTGTGAGGGCCACAGTGGAATTCTGAAGGTAAGTTGGAGGAGAGCCTGTGGAGGTCTAGGTAAGAGTGAAGGTGCTTTGGATTTGGTGTTTGGTGGTTGAAGTGGTTAAACATAGTATTTGAAGAAAAGAATTTTGCTTGGAAAAATTTGCAAATGTTTGAGTAGAATAATCTCTGTGGAAGGAGTGATTGCATGTGAAGCCAGTTTTAGTCATACTCTATCAGTGTCTTGGGACAGGCGTGAGACACTGGTAGAAAGTGACACAGTGCAGCAGAATGTGTTGAACACAGAGCTTTGTGTGGGGAGGTCTTACTGTCATCCGCACCGCAGCCTTCTGGGCTCCAGTTTTCTGAGTAGTGGGAAGCAGGGGGGAGCAACCAGTTCTAGATATTTTTCGAAGACAGAAGGAACTTATTTTGATTGATTAATTTTGTTCAGACCCATCCCTTTTGGGTTCTAATTTCTTTATTTTCTCTCTTTTCTCTGGATCCTCATAGAAGACCACATCTGCCTGCTGGATTGCATTGTCGTGGATCTACAGGATATGGACATCTTTGCTGCAGAGAGACGTCCACGAGAGTACTCTAAAACCTCAGAGGACAGTAGTGGAGATCTGATCTTCCCCTCCTATTTTGTGCGGCAGATAGGAGGAAGCCTCTTAACTGAGCCTTGTAGGCTGAAATTGCAGGTGGAAAGAAATTTGGACAAGTGAGTGTTTTATCTGAATAGCTCTATATTATAAGTAGACTCTTAATAACTTAGAAATCAGTGCTATTAAGATAAGTTGTAAGGAGCATTAGTATTCACCAATTTCTTTTTCTTTTTTTGGCTTACTTTCCATTTATTAACATTTCGTAGATTTTTATACTTCCTCAATGGGACCATTCAAAAAACTAACACAAACTGAGATTATATTGTCTGACAATTCAATTATTTCAGTTTTAGAAAACAATTTCCTATTTAAAGTAAAAAAGCAGTTTATCTGTTTGATTGCCAAGAAGTTTTACACTTCCCTTACAATTGCATCTACATTAAATGTACAGTCCTTAGTCCAGCTCATGACTGCTGCTGGCCAAGAACACACTGTGGCCTTTTGCTCAGGGTACAGGATGGAAGAGAGACCAGTTTTGGAGAGCTCCTGTCACCTACAGGTTCTACAGAACAAGTCAGTGTTTTGTTTAAAATTCTCAGTACTCGAGGCCTGAGAGTGAGACACTTAGTCTGCAAAACATTCAAAGGCATCACACTTGGATTTGGACTCTTTGGAAATACTAGCATAGCTGACATGCACATTTCTTCTTTGGTGGTACTAGGGGATGAACTCAGGCCTCAAACTTGCTAGGCAGTGCTCTGCCACTTGAGCCACGCCCCCCAGCCCATTATCCACTGATTTCTTCACTGCCTTGCTGAATGTTAATTGAGTACCTACTGAGTGCTAGGCTACTATGATGAAAGAGAAAACTTCTGCCCTCACTGAGTTTGTATTGTGAGGGATACAGGAAGGTAAACAGATAATTCTAGTTTAATGTTTGGTTCAGTGTTATAAACTGTGTTTCAAGATCATACAATCTTGGGAATAAAGAGGAAGAGACAGGAATTTAGCATGGATTTGGGTGGTGATAGAGCGGTAGTGAGGGTAGTCCAAGTACTCTGGAAGAGATGGATATTTAGATTATGTGTTCCAAATGTCATAGACTCTGGTCCTGTGATTGCTGCTCGTCCTGGAGCTCTGTCTAATTTGCATGACTGTTCAGAGGCAGTTTTGTCCTTTACCCCAGGAAGTAGTCTGAAAATGCTCCACAGACTAAAGGGCTGGCCCTGATTTACCCTTGTAGTTGGCCTCAAGACATAGGAAGCTTATTCTGTAGTTCAAAACCTTGCTTCAGTTGTCATTCATTCCATCTTTGCCTGGGAAACTTGCTACCTAACCCTACCTGAGACTAGCAGAACCTGACTCTAAGGGCTGAAGCTTAAGTGTGTATTTAGTCGTGTCCTCGATGGGGACTCATCTGGCCAATGCACAGACACTAGAACTGCTGACTACAGTGTGGAGTAACTTTCAGTATGGGGTATTGATTTTGGAGAAAGCGGCAAAGTTTTGCATCTCAACTACAAGGAAAGATGAGGTGTGGCTATATAGTAATTAAAGAGATTTGCTTTGGTGGCATGTTGAAAAACAGCCTCATTACTGTGTAGAGTGTGATTTTAATCCCTCTTTGGCCACTCCCTTCCTGGTTCTTGGCTTTGGGCAAGCCACTTCATGTCACAATTTTAGTTTCTCTTGGGATGAGTATTATAACGTAGCCATCTTCACTGGGATGTTTGTGTTTCACTGCTAACTTGTTATTCAAGTGTTGCTTGGCTAGGGTTCAGTTAGGGTTGGCCTGGGCTATATTTAGTTTTACTGGCTTAGCTATTTTAAGAGGAGCTTCATTATTTAGAAATTGAATACTTTGTTTTTTTTTAAATCAATGCATTAAAAAAAAAAAAAAAGCACTTTGCTCCCTTGCTTTTCTAAACTTTACCCACTCTGGTCAGTGTTTATGTGCCGATAGCTGTGCTCAGTTAGCCCAGGTAGAGGCTGATGGTGAGCCCAAGGTGTGCAGACTGTTCTCAACAGGGACCCCACCATGGTCCTTGGTAATGCTTCCCAGTTTCCCTTGTTGATTGCATCATCATATGTGGGTTTTTCTTTGCAAACAAAGTAATCTTGGGTTTTTTGGTAGTGCTGGGAATCAAACCCACTGCCTTACCTAACAACTGCTAGGCAGGCACACTACCACTAAGGTGGCATCACCAGCCCCCAAATAGTTTTTTTTTAAATTCCTCTTCCACCTTAAATCCTAACCTCTACTTTATACATCCAAAGTATAATATCTGTAGGATCCAAGATGCCCACTTCACCCTTGGGAGGATAGAGGGAGCGCTTTAGTGTTGGTACGAGTTACGTCTGTCCCCTTAGTCCTGGACATCCTCAGATTACTGCTATCCATTCCAGCTTTGTTGAGTAACCTTTTCAGATTTTATCCTCCTTAATGTCGCATCCGGGCTCTGTATGAAACACTTACTTCTTCTTTTAGTTTCCATGGAATCTGAAGGGTTAAGAGCTTGGCATCTTGTCTTCATTCCCCAACTGTGAGATTTCAGCTGTTTCTGAGACTCATGAGGTTAGCTAGTGTGTGTGTATACATGTTTTTCTTTGTTTTTGGTGCTAGGGATTGAACCCAGGGCCTTATACATGCTAGGCATGTGCTCTACCACCAAGCTACTCTCCCAGTCCATTTAGCTCATATTAGATTTAAGGATTTTCTCTATGTATATTTGAGAGAAAAGGGTCTTTTTGTAGTTGAAGCCTGACATTCCTTGCTTTGTTTGGAAATACATGAATTTTTATTTTTTTGTCGTTGAAAGTTAGAAGCCAACTGTTGATAATGTAGATGGGTACATTTTAGTTCTTATATTTCGGTGTGAGCTATGTCAATGTTAAGTTAGTGAGTTGTTTCTAAAAGTGACCTTCTTCTTTTTCATAGAGAAATAAGTCATACTGTTCCAGACATATCTATCCGTGGCAATCTCTCTTCAGTCCACTGTTCCCTGGATCTGTATAAATATAAGCTGATCCGAGGCTTATTGGAGAATAACCTTGGAGAGCCTGTAGAGGAGTTTATGCGGCCTTACGATTTACAAGATCCTAGAATTCACGTGAGTGAGACCTCATGTTCTTCTGTGTCTGAGACCCTGGAGAAAGGTGGAACAAAAGTACATTAGATTTCTGACCTATGAACCTGTTTTTAGACTGAGATCGCCAACTGTTAATTGATCAACCTTTTCCTTTTGCAGACTGTTCTGAGTGGAGAAGTGTACACTTGCATGTGCTTCCTCATTGATATGGTTAATGTAAGTCTGGAGCTCAAAGATCCAAAAGGAAAAGAAGGTGCTGGGTCCCTGGCCAGGTACGTGCATGCTTTCAATAAGCACAGAGTGGAGACGACGCAGGGGGATGGTCCGCATCTGATGAGGGCTGCAAGTGCTTTTTGGTTGGTTGGTTTTTAAATTTTTTTTTTTTTGGTGCTGAGGATAAAGCCCAAGTCTTACCTATGCTAAACATGCATTCTTGCACCGAGTTACACCCTAGCCCCAAGAATACTCTCTTATAAGTTTAAATTCATTGCCCTGTTAGCCAAGACAGGTTAGGTTATACTGTAGTAGCAGTCAGCCCCAGATACCTGTGTCTTAAAATAGCTAAGGTGTGTTTGTCCCTCAAGCTAGGTGACTGTGGGTGTCAGGCAGCTTTGCTCCTGTACTCACTTAGGGTGACAGAGCATTTGTTTTGTTTTGTTCTTTTGTTTCAAGATGTAGTCTTGCTCTGTTGCCCAGGCTGGCCTTGAACTCATGGGCTTAGCAAGTAATTGTCCCACCTCAACCTCTTAAGTAGCTGGGACTACAGGTATGCTCCTGTGTCTGGCTGTCAGAGCATTTTGATATGCCAGAGAGAAAAGCCCTTGAATGATCTGAGATGGCAAATCCGTGCTCTGGTGTACCTCCTGGAGCTTGAATGTGGCCCCACCAGCACGAAGGAGGTGAGAGGATCATCCTGCTGTCTGCTTAGCTCTGGGAACAGTGATGCTAGTGACTGCCTCATGGGTTAACATGTTAAAAGTTGGGGAATTTCACATCAAAAGATTGAATTTCAGCTTCTTTTGAAAAATTGGAGCTTTATCAACTCAAGGCCCTGATTTTTCTCAGAAACATGCAGAAGCTGAGTGTAGCAGTTGCTCCCTTTAATGGGCCTGCACTCACTTGGCAGTTCACTTTCTGTGCCACTGTTCAGTCAGTGTACATGTATGAATTTGTGGTTACTGGGGTGGAACTTTAAAGACGTGTTATATTTTCACACTTGATAATCTTTCTTTTGATCTCTTAATAACCCTGTAGGGTAGGGCGGCTATTATTCCTATTTTACAGAGAGAATTTTTTGTTTGTTTTGTTTTTTTGAGATTGGGTCTTGATATGTAGCCCAGTATGACCTTGAACTTTCCATCCTCCTGCCTCAGTCTCCCAAGTGCTGGAATTACATGTGAGTGCTTTCATACCAGCCAGAGAGAATTTTTGAGGTCCTATGTCATGTGACTGGAAACATGGCTCCATATTTGACAACAGGAATCAGGCTAATAATATCCTGCTCAAGTGCTCTATCTTCTAGCTTGTCTTTCTGCCGAAGGTCTGCCATGGCCTGCACCTGCCTCAGCTGAAGAGAGCATGCTATAGTAAAGCTGGGGTCCCAGACTGACGTTCTTGTGAGCTAGTACTTTTTTCCATGCCTGGCTATGTCCTTAGTTTTTCTCAGTATAGAATACTTGTGTATGTGTTATCACAATGGTACCAAGTACCATTGTGGCTTTCAGTTACTAAAACAAGAAAGTCAGTTCCACATACATTTCCTGTTGGTGGATCAGTTGGATTTTTCTCTGTGTGAAGAGTATTATGTGTTCTAGTTGTTCTCAGTAAAACTAACTGACCTTTTTTCTTTTTTGTTTTTTGATGGTGCTAGGGACTTGAACTCAGGGATTTGCACTTGCAAAGCAGGCACACTACTGTTTGAGCCACACCTCCAGTCCGTTTTGCTTTGGTTATTTTGGAGATGAGGTCTCTCGAACTGTTTGCCTGGGCTGGCCTTGAACCTTGATCCTCCTGATTTCAGCCTCCCAAATAGCTTGGATTCTAGGCATGAGCCCCTGGTGCCCAGCTTTAAACTAATTGCTCTTATACAGAAATTTGGGCAGACTTTGGAGAGAGAGAAGCCCCCAGGCAAGCTAGAAGGGATCCTTGACACCTGCCAGATATATTTCAATTATACAGCCTTTTTAGACTTCTGATGGGAAATGAGAATGATAATGAATTGAGACTATAATAAATTTGTGATGTTGTTATTCCTCATGAAGTCCCTATGGACAAGACCATCTCTTTGGAATTGGGGAAGTAAGAGATGAAGCAGTGCCACTAGATCCATTTTGAGTGGTCTGTTAACAAATCTAATGCTGGGTCTCAGAATGAAAGCTGCTCTTCTTCCTACAACTTAGATATGTTGATAATTTTGCTCTTGTTATCTTGAACTTACATAATTTTATAAAATAGGATTATATTTAACACTTTGCTTGCTTTCCCTTTTAGATTCGACTTTAAGAAATGTAAACTGCTCTATGAGAGCTTTTCCAACCAAACCAAGTCCATTAACTTGGTTTCCCATTCTATGATGGCTTTTGATACCCGGTATGCTGGACAGAAGACCAGCCCTGGCCTGACTAATGTATTCAACTGTATCTTTCAACCTTCTAAGAACAGTAGCAGTACCCAGGGGTCCATTCAGATTGAACTTCATTTCAGGTAGTGGAGCCTGACCCCAACTCTGCTTTTCTTAATGGAGACATTTCCTTTTGTGGCCAGAGGGCCAAGTCCATGGTGGCTTTAGAATATCAGAGAATCAAGGAATCACTAAGGAGATAAACAATGCAATGTGCGTATTTGCATGTTGTTCCTGAACTCTTGTAGTTTCACTTATTGGCCAAAAGATGTCTCTGTTGCCTTAAAAACAAAAGTTTAGAATTGAACCTCCTTGTAAAATCAACTTCCTTGTAAGCTTTAATTTGTTAAGTGAACTGGGGAAGGAAGAAATTATGATGGTTTAAGGAAAAAAACAAAAACAAAACTTTTGGTTTATCTTGAAAGGAAAGATGTTTTGATTTGAATAGTATTATCTATTCAGGTCTTGCTGACTCACTTCTCCATGTGTAAAGAGTTTTTACCTTTTTGAATTAAATTATGTTTTTTCTCTGATATTGTGAGAGGCAGCCTTGTGTGTGCAAAGAACTTGTATCTTGGAATTAGACAGACCTTGGTTCAAAAACATCAATCTTCCTTTTTCAAACTGTGTATCCTAGGACAAATTGTTTAGCTTCTTTGAGACTCAATTTCCTCTTATTAAAACAAAACCAAAAAACTCTGCTTACCTCATTGGGTCAAGGTAAGTATTAAAATAATTCTGGCATATTGCTTGGCACAGATAGTAGCTGTTGTTATTATTATTATTACTGATGGAGCTTGCACTATTTTGTGATACACTATGTGAGATTTTATGATTGATCATAGACCTGAAAATTAAAAAAGTAGGTCTGATCTATAGAAGTCCTTCAATAAAAATCCAAAGGGAGCCCTTCAGAACAAATGTCAGTTTCATTCTATTAGTACTTAATGTCACCAGATACATTGTAAGCATAAACCATTAACTAGCAAGGCAAGGAAGAACTTCATATTTAGCCAAAAAAAAAAAAAAAAAAAAAAAGAAAAATAACCATCAAGATTACTCTTGTTTTTTTATATGTCTGCAATTTCAGTGTGCTGTTCAGATTTCCTCAGAGTTTAGGTTTTTATTTGGAGGGAGAGGCCATGGTCTTTCCACATGCCATGTGTAGCGGAGGAGACGTTTAAACTTTTGTACAACGTTTATCTACAAGTTGAGCAGTAGGAAGATTAGTGGCTTCTTGCTGGACCCTGCCATAAGCCAGGCACTTCACCTATTGTTACTTGAATTCTCAGAGAGAGTCTGCAAAGTGGATGGGCGGCTTTTTTTTCCCATTTTATAGATGTAGAGATAGATACCTGGAGATGGGTTGAGTGACTGTTATAAGGTCCCACAGCTCAGAAGTCCAGTGATTAGAACTCAAACCTGATTCTTTGACTTTAAAGCCTTCTATTCTTCAGGTCCCCAGCAGTCTGCTCCTTGGCTGATTGCAGTCATGTGAGATGGAGGCTGTGCTTACCCCCCCCCTTTGTTTGAAGATGTTTGTTGGAACTAGACTTGCACGTATTTGGTCCATTTGCAAAGACAACTTTTCCGGTTTTCTTTATTATTACTGATCTTGAGTTCCTAAATTATCAACTAGTTGTCCCCCTTCGTATATACAAGGAATCTTGAAATAATATTCTATTCATATACTTAAGGTAATAATTTCTTGGAGTCAAATAATAAAATATTAGCTTGGCTCTTCCTAACAGAAGTACCATTGTTAGTGAGAGAAGTAAACTGTTCTCTCGATTGGAACTTTGAACGCTTTCCGTGCCTCAAGAAGAATTACTCTTCTGTTGGGATTTTGTGTGTCAAATATAAATCACTTCACAGTGTTTAAAGGCTTGAAATATTTTCCAGAAAAGGGATCTGACACGCTGTGACTTTCTAGTTAGTGCCGAATGCTGACAATTGATGTTCAAGATGGGGTGGAAAAAGTTTACTGAGGGCAACATTTTTCCTCCATGACAAAAGGATAGTGTCACAGATTGACAAATGCTTTGTTGTAAGGAGACGTGCATCATGATACCCTTTTCTAGAGACAGAGACCTGAGTTGAGGAGAAAGGAGAGACTGGAGAAACCAGCCTTAGAAGTAGCTCCAAGTCAACCTTTCCCAAAATAGTGCAGGGACCAGGTATGTGCGATAGCCAGAGCCCAGAATTGGCCCCTCTTTTGGGTTTACAGAACCAAGTTCAATCCATAAAACCTGTTCGAACTGTCCCTAGTCCATGCTTTGTCTGTCCTACCCACCTCTGCCATCAAGTATACTAATAGGGCCTGGGTAAAACCCCTGAGTGCACCAAAGTTTGAAGCCAGGCCTGAGAGTCCTTGTTGGGTTTTCACCTAAGTATAAAATAAGTCTTGTCCAACTCTGTCTTTAGGGTGCTTGCGGAATTGACTCATCACAATTGTCATCTTACTTGTTTTCCTTCTCAGGATAAATGATCTGGGCTCTCAGTTTCAGCTAGACAAACCATCTAGTACTAGTATGTGAACTTGGTCTTTACAATGAAGTGATCCTAGATGCCAAAGAGTTCCTCAGTGATCTTAAAACTGCCTCTAGGGAAGGAAGCTGACATTTATCTAATACCTTCTATGTGCTGGGTGCATTCTTTCTTTATTGATAGTCCTTATTTTGTAAGTGAGGGAAGCAGGAGGTGTAAGTGACTGAACTTAGGATTACCTAACTTGTGAGTGACAGTGTCTAAGTCTGCATCTTTAACTTTAAAGACACTCTTTTCCCACTGCACTAGCATTTCTCAGCCTCTGCACTACAGGTTGACTGCTCCTTATTTAAAATGCTTGGGGCCAGAGTGTTTCAGAATTTGGATTTTTTTTCAGATTTTGTATTATGTGCATGACTTTGCCAATTAAATATCCCTAATCCAAAAATCCAAAATCTAGAATGTGCTCGGTTCAGATTTTGGACCATGTTGAATATTTGGATTAGGGATGTTCACTCTTTGTTCACTTTTTGGGTCAGGCAATCCCTCATTGTGGGGCCATCTTGTGGATTGTGGGATGGTGGGCAGTGTCCCTGCCTCTGCCCACCAGATGCCAACAACAGCTCCTTAGTTTTGACAACAAAAATGTCTCCAGATACTGCCAGATGTCTCTTGGGGAATCGTGTTAGTTGACACCACTGGACTGTATTACTTTCTTATCACATACTTCTTGATTTAAAAAAACACTAACTTTTGGAAAGCATACACTGCATGTGTTCTTAAACTAGTGTTCAGAGTTTACTGATGCATGAAGCTGTTGGTATTAAATATTGGAATAGAGCCAGGTGATGTCCCTTTAGTCCCAGCTGCTCAGGAGGCTGAGGCCAGAGTTGCTTGAGCCCAGGAGTTTGAGGCCAGCCTGGACAACACAGGGAGACCCTCTCTCAAAACAAACAACAACAACAACAACAAAAAACCCAACAACAATAAAAACTGGAATATCATCTGTCAAAACTGAATAATATATTAGGAAGTTTTTGAAATTCTGTGCTTCTTTTTCTGATTTTGTGTATGTATATACATTTGTGTGTGTGTCTTCTTTCTTGTAGATCTACAAAGGATTCCTCCTGTTTCACAGTAGTTCTCAACAATCTCCGTGTGTTTCTCATATTTGACTGGCTACTATTGGTCCATGATTTTCTCCACACTCCCAGTGACATTAGGAAACAAAATGTTACTCCTTCTCGACACCATAACTCCAGCAGTGAATCTGCTATAGTTCCCAAAACTGTTAAGAGTGGAGTAGTTACCAAGCGGTCTTCCCTTCCTGTGTCCAATGAAAGGCTGCTGGAGGTCAAGGTCAACGTAACAGGTGACTATCTATAGGTGTAATTCACTGATATTTAGTTTGGATGTGAGCTTTGTACCTGTTTTACAGAGTGATGTGTGTCTGTCCTCTCACTTCTAGACATGAGCACTTACACATTTGCATTTTTAGAGACCAAAGTGTTGAGGTTCTTGACCTTCATTTTCAGGTGTGAGCTGCCTGGCCCCCTCAAGGCTAGTGGGTCTCATTTACCTGTCCTTTACCTGCCTAATGCATGTTCCTAGTCTGAACACCTGCCTGGGCATCTTCTCTCCTAATGTGAGATCTGGTTTTAATTTTCTGTTCAATCTTTAGGGCCCCAACAGATGGGCCTTACTGATTCTAGGCAAATTGGGTATGTGAAAAAAAGAATCTCAGTTTTGAAGGTAAATAAGGTAGAGGATTGTTATTTTCCTTCTCAAAAGAGTATTTTTCTTGAAGATGGATGTGGTAGGGTTTTCATTATCTAGTGGGTTCTTCTAGTGCATCTCTATGTTACATGTTTGTGTATTTATTTTTAGGTTTGTGATACCCCTACCTGCTTGGCAGTAGTTTTGATGAAGGTGGTTAATACAGTGCATCTGAAGTGGGTTCAGTTACAAAAGCTTAGATTGTACATGGTTTTTATGAGTACACAGTGTAAAACAGAGTGAGTTTGCTAGATACAAACGAGCAGGAAGCTGGCTGCATCTATTGATGTAAAAAAATCTTGACACAAATTGATCTACGTTTTTTGTGGACCATTTGAATAGCTACAGGGAAGCTGTTATAGTGCCTTATGCTGCCTGAACAAATGTTATTATATGAATCTACTTCTTGGGATTTTAAATCAGTTCCATGTCTTGGAGAAAGGATGCTTTTCTTAACTTCTGCGTAGTTGTTAGGCCTCTCAGGATGACTGGGATGCAGTTTTTCTACCTTAAATGTATGCTCAAGAGAGAAACTGCACCCCACTCTTTTCTGTTGGTATAGCACCCTGTTGGATCAGCTGTACTTGGCCAGATACAGAGTTCATTTGGGATGACAGTGAGGCAGAATGTTGACAGACATTCTGGAGAACAAAACACCGGTCAGTGCTCTCACTTGGTGGAAATTTGCTGCTTCCTTCTCAACAGCCTGCTGTTTTTCGGCTTTCTAGTTTTGCCTTGATTGATGATGCTGTCCTTTCCAGGTACAGAATTTGTGGTCGTTGAAGATGTGTCCTGCTTCGATACCAATGCCATTATTCTGAAAGGCACCACAGTGCTCACCTACAAACCACGCTTTGTTGATCGTCCCTTCTCAGGAAGTTTGTTTGGCATCGAGGTAAGAAGTCTGTGTGTTGATCACAACCCTGTGTGTTGGACTCATGAGAGAAGCATCTGGAAAAGAATTTGCCTCCTAACCTCTTACTGGGGCAAATAACTCGTGGAATTGGAGGACTCTTGCTCTCTCTTGGCCTCTCCTTTACTTTCTCCTCACTTTCTGCTAGGTTACTCCACTGTGTGAATACAGTCCTCCAGTGCCAGACTGTGAACATGCATGGGGATTTTTTTTTTTTTTCTTGTACTCCTTCCCTTCCTAAGGAAGTTCATGGAGACTCCTTTAGTCATTCCCATTAAGCACCTTGTTGAATCTTTGGTTCTATAGGTCTACTCCCTGGCAAGCCTGCTGAGGTAAGGCATTGGTCCTCATTGCCCCTTATCCCCTTTTCCCCCCAGTGAGTGCTGTTCTGTGAAGTGCCAGGGATTTGGGATAATGGAGACCTGTTTAGAAAATGTGTTAAGGATTTGATGTATTACCCATTCAGGAATCTCTGATCTATAAAAGGGCAGCTCATGTGTGACCTAAAGGACCAGGTCTCTAACAGTGATGCAGTCTCATGAAGGAGGTAATCTGCACCAGTGTGGCATTTACAGCCTGAAAATTTCATTATGCAACATTAAGCAAAAACTGCTCTGTCTTGTTTTACGCCATGGGTTGTGGGGTCATCATGGGAAACATGGCAGATTGTTGTCTCTATCATGTGTTCTCAATTAACTGATCACAGCTTACATTCCTCTCATTATAAGGTTAGACTATTTGGTCAGGGTTCTTTTGCTCTTATGATTGAGTTTGTTGTTGTTGTTTTTTTCGTTATTCTTGCAGTGCTGGGGATCAAACTTAGGGTCTCATACATTCTATACTATGGTTCTACCACTCAGCTGTATCTCCAGCCTTAAAAATGAATGATTTGTGCCTTATTTTTTATATTGGTATTGCTTAGGCACTGAATGAATAAAACTCATTTTCAGTGTCAGGTACTTTTTTGGGTTCAAAAATAAAACATGGAGATTTCACATTTTGACCACTGTTTCTGTAATGAAAAGAAAGCTCAGTTTGAGAGCAAAGAGCTACATGCTGGGGTAAAGTGAGTTGATCATGAAATTGTAATTTGTCTGCTTGCCAAGCCACCACAATACCAGCTTTGAGTGGAAAATCTTGGTGATTGATTAATGAACTGTCAGGTACAATTGGGTTTTGTGTAGCAGAAGCCCCCGAAGGAAAAAGGAAAATGAAACTTTTCTGTTCCAAAGTCTTAGAAAAACTATGTGGCAAAATATTTGAGATTCCTGGAAACTCTTCTGATCTTGTTTTTCGGCAGCACAACTGAATGTGAATTCTAAGACCTCCTTGATACATCATTCGGGGAGAATTTATTATGTATAATGAGTTAGTTTTGAATATGACAGAGGACCTTGGTGTCGTGTGTTTTTTGGTAGCTCTAGGAAATGCCCCCAGCACGGAGGCTTGATGGGGCAGGGGCCCAAGTAAATGATCTCCTTTTCCCTGTGCTCCTCTAAAATACACAACATTATTTGGTTCTTGAATGAGCGCTCTCCTCACTTCTTGTGTCTCTGCACAAATATACTTATTTTGTAGCATGATAGAACATTTCAGACATATACAAAGTAGATTGAATAATGTAATAAATCCCTGAGTACCTATCACACATCTGTAATAATAAATGTCTTTTTAATTATGAAATTATGAAATTCCTATACATAATTTCTATTGACATTTTGGTGTGGTTTTTTCTTTTTAAAGAAAATCATACTGTAACATTATTATTATTGTTATTATTATTATTTTGAGACAGGATTTTGCCATATACCTTACCTCAGGTTGGCCTCAAATCGAGATCCTTCTGCCTTAGTCTCCTGAGTGCTGGGATTGCAGATTTGTGCCACTACTCCTGTCTTTGTAAGATTATTGTGATTAGGCTGTGTTTTCACATCATCTGTTGTTAACTGTCTTCCTACATTCTATATGACTTTTTAGCTGCCTTTTTTCTCTCTGATTTACTGGCTAATGAAATAGAATAAAGTGTCTAAGAATAGATAGAACTATGTTTAAAAAAATAATTCAGGCCTGGTGTGGTGGCACAAGCCTGTTAAAGCACTCGGGAGACTGAAGGAGGAGGATCAAGAGTTCAAAGCCAGCCTGGACTGCTATAGTGATTTTGAGGTAGCCTAAGCTACATGGGGAGACCCTGTCTCAAAAAACAAACAAAAACAACAGCAAAAATTCCATATGATGAATGACATTGTGCGTCCTCTCTGGGCTTGTGAGAATTATATGAATTAATACATGTCATGATGTTTAGAAAACCACCGGCACTTGTTCAGCATGCATTGTCTGTTATTTTTATTTCAATTCAAGTGAGAAAAGACTAGCGTACCTAGTAAGGGGTCTTTGCATAATTTGCTGTCCATCTTGAGGTAATGAGATACTCTACCTTATATTTAAGTAAAAATACATTTCATATCAATGAAAGAGGTACATGAAAGAAACCAAACTAGAAGCACATGACAAGAATATTTGAAGGAAGAAATTTAATTGACTAATTTTAGCCAAAACTGAGCCTTTTAACGCTGCCCAGAAAACCTCGACCCAATAAGGAAACCACAACAGAATTTTGAAGAGGAAACAAGATGGGGAGGAAGACAGAGAGGTAGCTGGGACCCAGCTCTGGACCCCGCCATCCAGGCCTGGTCAGGAACCCTGCTGGGACCCACTAGTTGTTAAATGGCTGCAGTGTTCCATTGAGTAGATGTGATATAACCTTGGTTGCTCTTAATTGCTTTAATTATTAAAAAATGGTCCAGTGAAATTTGATATATTCTGCATTATTTCCTTAGGCTAGTTCCTAGAGAGAAGTAGATGATTGGGTCAAAGAGGATGTGATCTTTAAGCCTTTTGGGATGAATTGCTAGCTGCCTTTTCCTATGGGTGATCCACTGTTCATGTCTTGGCAGCAGGTGAGAGTCTGCCTTACCCTTCATGGGATTTGTTTCAGCAAGTGTTACGGGTCTTGCAATAACACAAGGCTGATTGTTCCTGAGGTGGCCTCTTGGTGCCGAAGCTTAGCACCTTTCTAAGTCAGACAGTAATCTTTGCCCTTTGCATTTCATTGCCTAGGTGTTTTCGTGCCGACTAGGGAATGAGCATGATACCGCTCTTTCAATTGTTGATCCAGTACAAATTCAAGTGGAACTGGTGGGGAATTCTTCTTACCAGAATAGTTCCGGATTGATGGATGCATTTAATAGTGAAGATTTTCCACCTGTCCTAGAGGTAATGAAGAAAGCTCTCTGTACCACATGGGTATAACTTCAAATACTTCCTTTGCAGGCACTCTTGGTTACTCTGGGTCCAGCACCATTTTAGTTTTTAAAACAGGTACAGCATAAATATGATATTGTCCAGGATCTTGTAGTCAGGGAGGATAAGAGGGCTTTTAGTTGTCTGGTATTATGTTAAAGTTCTATGAAGTTTATAGGAGGCAGAACTCAACACAGGCAAGAATATTCTTTGTGGTGGAGCATAAGGTTTGGGGAGTCTGGTGGAAGGGCAGGGTGTAAATTGTCAGAGAGGAGAGGGAGAACATTGCAAGTCATGAACCAAGTCAGGGTGGAAGCAAAGGAAGGTCTGACTGGGACCAGAGATGTGCAGGGAGGTGAAGAAGATTGAAGGTGAACAGGGAAGGCTTAAGAATTTGCTATTCTATTTCTTTTTAGGAGGGCAATAATTAATTAATGTATTTGAATCACAGGAGATTGAAAGAGAAAAGTCATGTTGCTTTTCTCTCTTAGTGGTACTTCACAGAAAAAAAAAAGTGAATAAGTAATGCCCCCCTGGTGCACATTCACCCCTTGGTCCAGTTACCTCCTCAGAGGGTCTGCTGCCTTCACCGGTGGAGCTATAAGACTGAATTTCAGGAAATGCTAGTGGAAAACTTGGCTCATATAAGGCGGTGTTTGAAGAAAGAAGAGATCAGTTTTGTCAGTTTGTGTCAGAGATTTAAAACATTAAATAGGTCCATGTAAAATGGATTAAGAAAATGTTGCTAAGAGGTAGCCCTGCCTTTTCTGGAGCTGTTCGGTTATCTCGTGCTTTGACTGTGAATCCATGAATGGATCTGTGTGGGGAGCACCCTGTGGCTCTAGTAACCATTCTAGCTTAGTACTTTCTGTTTGGTATACTTTTTGACCGTTTCACCTTATAGCGGAGGCATCAGAATCTTGTGGGTATTTGCTTAATTTCAAGATCTTTTCAATCTTTAAATGAAAATTTGTTATAGTATTGGTTAGACTTTTAGAAGTTGAAATAGGAATTATGTCTGTATGAGGTGTAGTGCACAATCAAGTATGATTTAAAAAAGCTAACTATCTTTTAAATGTTACTAGATTCAGTTGCAAGCCCTGGATATCAGACTCTCCTATAATGATGTTCAGCTCTTTCTTGCCATTGCAAAATCCATCCCAGAGCAAGCTAATGCTGCAGTGCCGGACTCAGCGGCCTTGGAAGCTGACTGTGTCCTCAGTTACCCACCAGGAGCATCTCGTGTGGGAGAGGAAATCAGAGAAGGGAGAAGACATGCCTTAGATCCTGTTTTGGGTAGGTGTCTACCTATAAAATTCCTCAGTCTTCCTAATAAAGCTCCTTCTTTTTAGCTTTTTAAATTTTGTTTTGTATAATTCACTTGCTCAGCTTGAGTTGAATTATTTGTCGTTAAGTAGGTAAATCGTAAGTATGATTCTTTTTAAATTTAAAAACAAAACCCCAAACCAACTGCTCTAGCCTGCACTGGTCTTCCTGTTATAATCCCTTCCAGAGTTGTATGGCTACTACTCGAGTTTAGTTTTACATTGAAAGTTTTCCTTCAGAGTTATGTGGATAGTATTAAATTTTAGTCTTATAGTCTTATACCTTAAAGTTTCAGGGTGTTCTTGATAGAAGACTGCATTGAGAGCCTAGTTTTGATTTGAGAGGTAAATTGTTTTAGTCAGCATTTCTGAATTTCTTTTATTATTGAATTGACTATGGATTAATTTACATAAAATTATTTCCTAGAGTTACAACTGGCTAGACTTCAGGAGCTGGGGTTCAGCATGGATGATTGCCGCAAGGCTCTTTTGGTGTGTCAAGGTAATTTGGATGTGGGTTCCACTGTCTGCTGTTTATCTTGACAATATATTTCCTTCCAGTTTCCTCCTCTGCTCCCACAAGGTGACTGGAGAGCTGGAGTGTATTTAGAAGACCTAATCCTGGATGGGTAGTAGTTGTGAGCAGCAGGATGTTCAGTGGATAAAAAGGTTGACTCTGGAGCCAACTGCCTGGGTCACATTCTTCCTCTGCTCTTATCAGCTACTTATCGCTGACTCTGGGCAAATGGCTTGCCTCTCTGCCCCAGTGCTTCCTTATTTGTGAAAGAGGATAAGCGGGCCTTGCTGGAGGAAAGTGCCCTGTGACTGTTACACACAGTTATTAGTACTGGTGGTAAGAGTGGTGAGCCTGACCACTTACTCAGCTTGTATGCCCATCTCTTGTGGAGTTTCACAGACTTTTGAAGTAGCCATTGTTATTCCCACTTCCGACAAGAAAACAGCTTATATAGGTTAAGTAAATTTGTTGGAGGACACCCATTGGTGTAGACCTAACATGGATTTGAAGCCAAGTCCACTTGACTCCAGAGCCCATATTCTTTCTACTGAGTCACATCATACCCACCTCTGGGTTCTTGTCTGAGGAACCAGAAATAGAGTCAAAGCTGTATTTCCTTACAACCCTTGTATATGTGTTCACACTCTGTTTCTCTAGGTATGTATGTAATCATCTGTCTTTCTCTAAATATGTACATACACGTGCACACACATAGAAATTAGTGTTTACAAATGATTGTAATGGCATGGAAAGATGCTGATGTGATATTAGGCATAGCATAATACAACTATAATTTAATGTATGAAATCTGTAATTAGTATATAAACATATACACATATTTATGCATACACATACACACACATTCTGTTTTTTGCAGTGTTGGGGATCAAGCCTTGTGCCTTGGGCATGCTAGACAACTGTTCTGCACTGAGCTCCATTTCCCACCCATATAGTACCTGTACTGTACAGCAGTCCTCCTTGCCTGTGGTTTTGATTATCTCAGCTCAACCTTTGTCTGAAAATATTAAGTGGAAAATACGAATAGTGTTTATTTTTAAATTTTAAATTGCACACCATTTTGAGTAGTGTCAGGTTTTTTTTTTTTTTTTTTTTTTTTT